TGTGCGATGCCAAGCTTCCCGAGAACAGGAAGCTCCTCTTGCATGTTTGCGAGGGATTGCTGAAGGAGTGGTCCTCGGACAATGCCCAGGTGGATGAGTTGAAGGCTGCGGCTTCGGCGGAGCCTTTAGTGCGTTGTGTCGAGGCCTTTCAGAAGTTCGCCCGTGCTGCTATCCACCTGCTGCACGACAGTCCCGCTGGAGCCGTGGTGCAGACCTCGCCAAAGGACTTGGAATACTTTATCCATTACAGCGGCACGGGCCTCTTTGAGCGCACGGTGAAGAACATCCTCACGACTGAGGAGGTTGCTGGAGCATCCCAGGCTGCCACAGAGAACCGGAGCTACCTACGACAACGGGTTTCAGATGTGGTTCGGACTGCAGCTTCGACTTTGAAACTCGCTCCGGATTTTGCTATGGCGAAAAGCAAGATGGAGCCGGAGACACCGAGCATAGCAGATTTGGCTTTCGTCTGTGACAAAGTGCCAGCCTTCCGAGCTGGCATGCGCGCACAGGAGTGCGAGCCTCTGGAGAAGCTTGCGGTTGTGCGCTTGGTTGCTTTTGCGCACAGGGTCCGCCAAGGCAGCATGCCATTCTCCTCCAAGGAATTGCAGTCTTTGTGTCAGATGCTTCGCGTGTTTGGCAGCCGTGCTGATGCCATGGAGGCCCAGAATCGTCTCTGCGAGTGGGGCACCCAGCACAACAAGAAGCTGTGCCAGCAGGATGTCATGCAATGGTTGAAGAACTACATCGAGCAGAGGCAGAATCCGTCGATGCAACAAGCAGCAACTCCGCGGGAGTTGTTGCCCTTGCTCAAGAAGATGTCGGCAACGGACCGGAATGCCAGCTACCCGTCGGATTTGCAGAACCTCATGATGCTCGGGACATTCTATTTGCTCGATCACGCAATCAAAGAGGCCAAGAGAGACCAGTGCAGCCCAAATCTGTCATTATAAAGTTGTTACAGCCCAGGTGCCAGAGTCCTAGATACAGGCTAGATACTTCGAGTCCTAGATCCCTAAACCTTAAGAGCTTAAGCCTGGAATCTTGAACTTCCTGAAACCAGCCAACAAAAATATTTCAGAAAACAAAATCCTTTTATTGCGGTGGCTATCATCCTATGTTGGAAGTCTCGTCGCAGGCCAATGCCCACTTGCAGGAGACCATTACAGCAGGCATGGAGACGGCAGGTGTGGCCATGACTCTGGCGAAGCTCGCCAAGCACAAGCACGTTGGAGTCGTGGAGATGTGGCACGACTTTCTCGAAGCCGTCGTGGACACAAGGGTTGCAGAGATGCAGCTTGATGGTTGTGGTTCCGACGCCGCGGACCGGGTTAAGAATGACATCGATGCGGAGCTCTTCAACAAGACCTTGCGTGGCAGGTCCGAGATCGTCTTGAAGTGCAATGCTCTGCGGGAGAAGCTGGAGACCTTGCGGCGCAACAGCGACCCGAACGACGACATTGCTTGCGACACCAAGGATGCCGTGATGGCGAGGCCGGCCGACAGCGTGCGTGTTTTGCCGTGGGAGCCCTTCCAGAGCATTGTCACGGCCGATGGCATGGTGTCCATGTTATCCGATATGGTGTCGCACCGTTGCACCCGCCTCAGTGCAAAGTTGAACGCTGGAACGGCCGCATGCTCCAGCTCAAGCAAGGGCCTCATGGTGTCGAACGAGGACAACTGGAAGAAGGACTTGACAGATGATCCTTCTCTGGTGGCTGTGGTCTCGGTCGCCCAGGAGACAATGAAGAAATTGTCTTGGAAGGACTTGAAGCCCTCCCTGGGCCAGCTCCAAGAGGACTTGCCAGAAAGTTCAAAGTGATTATTTGTGTGAGTGTTTTTGGCATGGCTTGTTCATGTACTGCCTCGCATGATGTTGGGTAGTTGCCGTGGGCACAGCCACCAATGATGGGTTCGGGCGCAGCAACTCTGACTCTTTTCCAGGGAAGCAGAGGTGGTGGTTCATGGTAATGATTAATGCATGATTGGCAGACACTGTTTCAGGTCATGTAGATGCGAGTGGTTGCGTAGGTGCGGTGACATTTTTTCTGTTATGGTGAGGACATCCTTGCTGCAGACAACTTCCTCCAGGACTTCGTGAAAATCGCAGGCTCGGCACCGATCGCGAATGAGGAGTGTGCATCCATGGAACGTTTGCTGGTGGATTCCAAGAAGATCTTGAAAGAGGCCGGCACCCTCTTCGTTGAATGCATCCTGCTCTCCGCCTTGAAGGTGCTTCAAAGCGACGAGGCTGACAAGCCTTCCATGGAGAAGGCGAAGAGTTTGGTGCGCTTGCAGCAAGGCAACATCATGGAGGGAAAGTACGGCGTTGCCGAGGAGGACGTGCAGCCCACCATGCTCGCGGGAGCCGTCGCTTTCCTGTAGGACCGTAGGTGCACTGGGAACTTTGAATCAGTTTGAAGACGGCAGTGTGGTGCACACGCTGACCACACGTCGTGGCGTGCAGTACCCACAGCCAGAGAGGTTTTCAGGGGGCAGGAGTGCACATGTTCACACGTGTCGTGGCATGCAGTACTCATGTACAGAAGCAGAAGGAGATGTGTCCTGACCACACAGCAGGTAGCATCAGCAGCAGCAGTAGCCGGCAGCCACTAAGTTTGACGTCAGGCACATGAGCTTCTCGCTTTGAAGCCCTCTCCTGCGAGACTGGACTCTCGACTTTTGCAGAAGCGCCAAAATCTGGGCCAGGCATGCCGCAAGTCCGTACCCATTCTTGTTTCGATAGTCTCCGGAGTTGTTTCCCATCAATTCGAACATCCTTTTCTCTCTCTAAATTCTTGCTAATCCTGCTCTCAAAAATCTCTCTAATCAATCAGTCTGACCGGTTCCCTCTCTAAATTCTTGCAAATCCTGCTCTCTAATATTCCTCTAATAAATCACTAAAATATTATTTATGTAAATCCAGTCTTTACCTGCCAGCGCTGGTGTTAATGCTAGTGTAGTTCTCTATATAACAGGCAGACCTTTGTTATATGCTTAACGGGTGACAGTATTACTGTATATTCAACAACATTCATCATGGCTAAATGTTCAGGCAACTCATGCGGAATGCAAGGGTAATTGAAATTAGACAACAAGACCAACCGTATGTAACTGATATTGCACCGATGGTAGGAAACTAGTCGGTGCAATGCAAGTAGCATTTGAGTATGCATCCTGGTGTTGTATGTTTCATGCTGGTTTCATGTGTTATATCCCCCACTCAAACAGTAGACGATGATTTGCTCCTTTTGGTCGGTCACAGCTTTGGCCTTCACCTGTTCAGTCCGAGGGTATACTGTCATGTGACCTGCTTGTGGGGGGATGGATGGAGTTTTGCCATTCCTCCTTATCCAGGATGAGGTGGTGGCTGAGTGAGTACTTGGGAAAGCAAGGTACGACACGGGTCGCGTTTTGCACCTAGTATCTGTAGAGAGATCTGCAGAGAAGCGTGCTCGCCGACGTTGGCACGCGGCCTGGCACAGCCCAATGCAGAGGTGACATTGCTTGTTTGGCGGGGGACTGTTGGGGACGAGCCCTTGTCGCAAGAACTTCCGCGAGGATGGCACGTTATCTTGCCCTTATGCCGGCTTAGCCGGTGGCGGGCCTGCCTAGTTGTTGTTCTTTGCGTCTGCGAGCAAACGCTCTTGCTTAACCGGGCCCATCTGCCGGCCCTGGAACGTTGTTACCTGGGCTTGGGCGTTCGCCAGCCTGAACTCCAAGTGGAAGGGGCAAGGACGCTTGGGGAGCCCCTTGAGTAGCCGGGAGGGATCGCCGCATTATTGTACTAAGCTCAATAAGTATTGGCGAGATAGTACGAGAGGTCCTTTTTGGCTACATGAGAACTGATTGATTAGTCATCGATTTGTCTTTGGACTACGTTGTACATAATGTGGTTCAACACTTGTAACACGTACTAAGGATGTACTGGGTTTGTGGTTGTTTTGAACGTATGTCTAGTGACACAGTGTCCGAACATTTGCAGCATGATATATAAGCCAACGACTATTTGTCAAGCATCAATTAACTTTTTGCCCACGGATTAACATCATAGGGCGCAGGCAGGGTATACACCGTAGTTATGGTTGCGTGCGTACTCCAGTTGAGTATGTATATACATACATATATATATATATATATTGTTTACATCTGTATAATGTCCATGTTTATGTAGATTTGTAAAAATGATTCTGCTAACTGGGAATCGTTAGATAACCGCTAAGTTATCATTCGATACCAGCTGGTTGTTCAATCCGAAACGAGAGTAGATGAATGTATCGACATTATTTCTGAGCATCAGATATGATATTGGCTTTCGATTAATGCCTGCACGAAAATTGACACCGTGCGATTTGTTAAGGCCTCGCTCTACGTTGGCTAGATTTCCTAAGCAATGAAAGCAATTTTTCACGTACTATAATCTTTCCTCAGCAGGATTTCGAGAAGAGGTTGGCATAAACTTCCAACCCTTTGTGGGCAAGCAGCTCCGTGTGGGAAACCAACGACTCAGGTGTGAGCGGGCATTGGCAGAAGAATCCAAACCAAAAAACAGCAGCTTGGCAATGCTGAGCACGGGGCTTGAAGCGGAAACTCACAAACCAAATAAATAACCAAAGACACCACAAACACCAAAAGAACCAACACCACCAAAAACAAAAAAAACAATTATCCAGGAGACTAGTCACCCAGATTTTGTTTTTTTTTGGTTTTTTAGTTTTTTAGGGTTGTTCTGGCTTTTGGTAGCTTAGAGGCTGCTATTCCGCCCGGAGGGTCTTTTCCCCAGTATGAGGACGAACATATTTGAAAGCAACGTGGTTTTAAAACAATGCTTCTGTGCTCACACGGGCCGATGTGCAAGGATCACAGGACACAGCAAGGGCGCTGCGAGACTTAAAACAGGAATGCGGGCACCTACCAGGTTTCCCTCTCTGCCCAGAAAAGGTCCTTTGTTTTGCGTGCGACTCATCAACAAGAATGGCACTTCGCAGTTTTTCCAACAGGCCAGGCTTCGGCAAGTTGCAACCAACCGCAGGTTCGGCCCTCGATGCAGCGTCATGTTTCCTGAACATGCCCCAGTTGTTCATATCGAAGTGAGGATGGGCTCGGACATGGATCTGGCGAAGCTGGAATGTGCCACGTCTCAGAATGCATGCTTTGCTGAAGACTGTGAGAGAGTCCGACATCAGGCCACAGAAGATGACATCGGCGGGTGCTCCAGAGCGTCAACAGTCGGAGGAATCCGTTCAAGGAGCTGTCGGCGAGGAGTCTACTTCTGAAGGGATGGCAGGCCACACTGACATGTGCTTGCCATCGTCCAAGTGCGAGTATGTCGCGGTGTGTTCTGATCACTGCTCACGGATATGCTACTTTGGCAGGATCCGATGTAGAACCAGCAGTTGTCAAAACTACATCTCAAAATGGGCCGGCAGGTCATGCGAAGGCAGGAGTTGTGATCCGTACCGCAAAGTTCATTCGCTTCCTGTCATCAGGCGGGCATCGCCACAGGCACAGTTCCGGACGTCCCAAGCCCGATTTGCATTTTGCATCTGCTCTGCAATCCGATCGCACGGATGCTGGATTTGCTGTAGTTCATTGTTCATGCTCAGGTCGGAGGTGTATGTGTGGGACTTTTCGAAAGCTTCTATGCTGAGCGCATCGATGTCCAGGCTGTGGCTGGGCGAACTGAGTTGAAGTTGAAGTAGGGCCGCGGCGCGGCCGCGAGCCGTGCAGTAGAAGTAGCGGCGTAGCGTTGTCGGCAGGACCTTGTTGCCCTGATGCGACGCTTCTCACACGAGAACGACGGCAATCTGTCTGGGCCTAAGGGCCTGAAAAGGCTGCCTTGCAAACAATTCAACACCGTTGCCTTTCATTGCTTCGAGCGCGCGACGCAGAAGGGTCGTTTTGTCATGGGCAAACTTAACCGAGAGAGTTGCTATGAGGCGGCGCATCCATCAAAAGGTGGTGGCCCTGCTCCTGGAGGATTTTCAGTCTCTGCCACACTGGCCCGAAAAAGAGCCGTTCTCCTGGAAAGGGGTGACCAAATACACAACTCCCACCTCTTGGCATGTGAGGCTCCTGCGGACCGGCGAGCTCTTGGGCCAACTCATCCGCTGGGCTCCTGACGTTAAAGGCCCTGCCACGAAGTTTTGCCTGGAATGGCCAGCCGTCGCAAGGTTGGAACTTGATTCCGGATCGCGGCCCTTTGCAAAGAGCACTGCCGTGGCCTCAGAGTCAGGGGCTTCGTCTGCACGTGTTCTGCTTCAGAGTTTCGAGGTGTTGCATGCTGCATGCTCTGAGAGAGCCCGCAAATAGCTTGCTCCACAGGCTCGTTGTGCAAACATATCCGGTGTTGGCCTTCTTTCTGAAGTGTCATGCGACTACCAGGTTCGGGCACCGAATGCTGGAGCAGTTTAGGCGCAATCCTCAGAGGCTTCAATCCTGGAAGCCTTCTTGTGAATTCGCCATCAAAGCGAACCGTAGTTCATGCTTCTCCTAAATCTGTTTGTGAAAACTTGCATCTAGTCTGATTTCTGCATGTGCAACCCTTCGTCGGACGCCACTGCTGGGGGTGGATCTATTGCCTCGTCGGTGACGATAGCTGGTGTCTCGCGGACGCTGCACGGACCTTCGTACTTGTGGCTTAACTTCGCACCTGCAGAGCGCCGAACGCTCGCCTCCTACTTCCTTCCCTCTTTTGGCTTCCCGGCCGTCTCGGCCCTTTGTCGGGGCCGTCTCCGGCTGTGGTTCAGGTAGTAGTGCAAAGAAAAGCATCGGCCAGAAGAACACAACTGTTCAGTGAGACCCGACAAGAACCATACCAGGGAGCGGAGTCCCAGCGCCATCAACAGAAGAGCGTTGAATACGTGAACCGTCAACTCCCCTCTTTGGGTATTGTTTGTTCTACAAGGTTTTCTGGAATACACTCACAGGTCAACCTGCTAGTTGGTGGATACAAGAGGTCCTGTTGGATCCGGTGGAAATATGTTCACTGTCTGTCCTTGAGTTGAGGAGTTGGACTGGAGGATTGTCTATGACACAGGCAAAGGTTTTCTGCGCATGTCGGCCTTCGTCCGTTGCTGCCTCTTTCATCAACTCGTTACACATGCGACGTCCTCTCAGCTTAAATGTTGCTAGCAATGAATCTTTGTGTCCAGCTGTGGTTGTCATGGAATGGTAGGACTCGCCAGGTCCAAACCCGACAGAACATACCGTTTTTATAGCTTTCGCACCATCAGTCAAACCAACGCATGTAGGCACTTGTGCAGAACACTGTTGTTGAATTGATTCAAGTCACATCATCACCATCATGGATGGCGGATTGCGAGAACCTGTGTCTGGTGAAGTAGTTGTAAGACACAGCAAGCCCCGAAGCCCCTAAACCATAATTCTAAGCTCACTCGAGAGCCTTCTCTTCTGCCAGCATGAGGTCCAGACTTGGCGACACCGAAGTGGGTTTGACGTGTCGGTCTCAGTCTTTTTGCTTTCGTTTGCTGAGATCAGATTTCAGTGTCAAGTTTAAGGCTGTCCCGGCACATTCTCCAACCCAGCCTTCGCCTAGAGGAAAGTTCAACAATCGGGCATTCGATCGGATGAGTCAGCTTTCGTTGACACCCTTTTCTCCATGTCAGGAGCAGGACCGCAAGGAGGCAAGCTGTTGAAGTGTTGAAATCCTCCATGTGATTGCAATGCCGTCAGGTCAGACGTTCAGTGCAGGAAGTGTCTCTTCCCTGCAAAGAGTCTGTAGTGGGTTATCGCTGTTCTGACGAGATCCGGAGTCCTGAGGCCAGCAAGCCCGAAAATCGCGAGTGCTCCGTGGCAACTTGACCTTAAGCAGACGTTATGTCATGTTGAGGCTGCATGATTCGTTGAAGCGAAGTTCTTGTGACATGATTTCACGAAGGACGCCATGTGTCCCAGAAGTCACAAGTCTACGCTTCTCGCATAATGTCGATGCATTTTTCCAGTGGCATGATTGGTTGAAGTCGGCACAAGCCTGCATGAGAGTGATGCCCAAGCGAGCACATGCCGACGCACTTCCAGGGCAGTTGGCACCACGCCATCAAATCACCACCGCTTTCCAAACGAGTCTTCAGGACAGCTGTCAGAGCACTCCCCTCAAGCTACAGATTGGCCTTGACTACTGGCAGTCTCAGAGATCTCCTCACCTGGCTTGCCACTTGATGGAAGCCTCGCTGGATGGCCATTTTGTATTGCAGAGGTGTTTGCCGAATCGCAACCTCGAGCAGCAGTTCCGCATGCCAGTGGCTCCTGTGCAGGCCAGTTGTAAAATCTCTTAGTTAGAAGAACCTTTATCTGTCCTATTCTGAACTGGTTGTTGACTTGACAGGTGTCTCAAACCCTGCTTGGCAGCGTGCCGAGCGCGACACCACTTCGATTGCAAGGCCTCCAACCCTACAGCCGAGTTCTGGGGATGCAATTTGAGGGGCAACGCAGTTGCGGAGGCACATGCAGTTCTGGGTTTCTTAATCTGCAATCATTGCAAGGCCCTGTCTATGTGCGAGCGAAGACACAAACTACAAAGCTTTCAGGGGGAGGGTCAGCACTCTGGGGAGTGGGAAGGCTTGGATGGGCCAACAGGGTGCTCTGCCGTGTTAGTTGCGGGGTGTGAGCTGCCAGCCTGCTGGCTGGGCATTGAAGCAACAGCCATTTTGGAAGTTGCTGCCACCCAGGCCCTGCAGGCATCCAAGCCTCCGGTGTGGCATGGACGCCCGTGCCCAAGCCATTGCTTCTTTGCGGACGCTGTCAGAATCACTGCAGGTTCGGCGGCAGTGCTAAGGCACGTTCGCAAGTCCTCGAAGCACAGCACTGGGTCATCTCAGTTCGCATGTGCGTTCGAGGCACCGCCACGGGTCAAACAAGGCCTGGATGGATGTTTTTGGCAGTCGCAGCATGCCGTGACTCTGGTATTGTCAACTCGTTTGTGTTGTTTGTCAAGTCTCAGGATGGGGCGGGTCTCATGATGGCAACTGCCGTGTGCAGATCGGAGTGTCCATGCAAAAAGGGTAGCGAGAGTCGTGACATGTACTTGGTGAACTGATTCTAGAAGTGACAGAGGCCTTCAAAAGGTTCGAAAGATCCTCCCAGGTCAACTCTCGAACTTGTTCTCATCACAGCTTGCAATTTGGGTGGAGCGTAACATGCATGTATTTCATTTGCTTGTTTGATGGTCATGTTGCACTGCTGCTGCTGTTGACACCTCCCGTGTCAGCACATGCACCCGGCAACAGCTTGCCCCTAGTAGAGAAGTATTGTGCTTCCAGCATGATGATGAACCTTATGTGGTGTGCATAGGCACAGCGGCATCGACGGAGGACCGTTGGACCTCAGCCTTCTTCATCCGCATTCTTTCAGCCTTTGCCCCTGTGGAGGAGAAGCGAGACCGTGAAACGAAAGGTATCGGGTTGTGTTGCGACAAAACACCGGTGAATCTATGTGCTGAGCAGGAAAGCAGAGCAAGCGTAGTTCTGCCAGCTTCTCAGTCTTGGCGTTTGTGATCTGTGCGGAGCTTGCCATAGAAGAAACACTGAGGCAAAAAAGAAAGCTGCTGCAAACCAGGAACAGCGTGCATGGCTCATCAAACCATCATGGCTTGTCTCTTCTTTTGGTCCGAACCTCACTGCTTTGTCAGGTTCTTCCGGTAAAGGCAAAAGTTGGCCAGCCTTCATTGAAGTCCTGAGCTCAGATGAAAGCATGTCGCTTTACAGGATCCTACTGTATGCTGCATAGAAGGTAGAGCTGGACACGCTGAAGTTCTGCCTTACGGACGACGACGTGCAGGCGACGCAATGTGTAGCCGAGACTTTGGCCAGAGAGCTCTGCCTGGCTGGAGCCACATGTGACTGTGACGTGGGCTTTGCAGATTGCAAGTCGTGCACAGCCTGTGCAGATCTGAGAGTAAGCATTACAGCCAGTGTGTCCCACCGTCTTGGCTCCCCTGTCTGCAGTCCTGCAAATCTAGGTTCACTTGGATGCAGCTGCTTCGTCCAACGATAGGAGCAAGCCAGACACGAGGCCAGAGTGTGGAGCTTCACGTTGAGCACAACATGACAGTCTGCTGCGCAGACTGCAAACGGGCAGCTGCAGCGAGCAAGTGCCTGAAAGTGCGTAGACAGCAGATCGTGTCACTATGGTGTAGTAGCCAACTTTGGTTTCACCCAATACGTCACTTTAGAAGCTTTTAGTCGAGCGCGGACCTTGTACTGCGCCAAACCGAGACGACGACCTCCGTGCGGGGAAGATGTGTTCATGCAAAAGCCCGGACGCTTGCTTTGGACGTGGCTTGATGTATCCTATGCTTAAGCAATGCACAGGGAGTGATTCCAAAAACCTCAACTTTGGCTCACTGCTTACAGCCCGCAGAGCTTGCCGTGAGCAGTGTGCCTCTGGCATGTCTGAGAGTGTGGTGACATGTCACGACGTTGTCTACACGTTTTCAGGTACTGTATGCGCCATGCCTTAGGGCTTGGGGCCTGCAGAAAAGCTCGGTTCCCAGCTCGACAAAAAAGCTCAGACGAACTCATCATTCTTAGAGTTCAGCGCGAGTGTTGTCATTTTATCGGGTATCGTGCTGCTCTTGCTGTATTTCTCGGTGGCCATCTTGCGTCGATTTTCTTGTCCGGGTATATCTAGAACCTGCATGAACTGGAAATCTATCGTGCAGGCTCGATTTAACCACACAGTCGTGGGGCTGCAGCATTGTGCAGCTGAGGTAGGTTCATTTGCGGCCGCTGCCACTGCAGAATTCCTGGTGAGCCTGGCCGGTGTTCTCGAATTCTATCGAATCCGCTGTACTTCCATGCCTGTGAAATCTAGCTGCTACGTCTGCGACACTGACGCACACCATTTGCCTTGATGTACTGGGCATTTCGGACTCAGCTGGTCAAGCCGAGGGTTCCACAGTGAGCAGCTTTCTTCAACCAAGCTGTGGGATGACTTGCGGGAGTTGTGACAAGACACAGTGATGGATAATCCGTGTAGCAAAACGTGGACTTGGGTTTCTTCAGCTTCAGTCGGTACTGGATGCCGAGTTGGAAGCTGCCTCTTGGTACGAATTGCATGAATCATGGGGGCTAGCCGCTACCCCCCTGTCAGAAACTCTGTCTGTCTGTGTGTGTGTGTGTGTAGAAACTCTACTTGACGGACCGGTATGCTCAGTTGTTACTCCGACACTCTGTTCCTCTACCGAGGAATCTAAGTATCCAAGTCAAACAAAATCCATACCAGGGGCCTCTTGCAATGTTGTGTCAAGAGAGACAGAGACCCTGACAGAGGCTGCCTTGATTTCAGGGATGTTTGACACTAAGTGCCCGCACTAACAGCCTTGACCCGTTCATGATATATATATATATATTGATTGACAGTGCCTCTGCACAAAGCCTGTTCTCAGCTGGGCCATCGGCGATTCGCCAGAATGCGAGCTGCTCCAGAAAGTGGTGCAGCTCAGCTGACGCGGCCTCGGTTGCTCATGCACAGCTCACGCCTGGGAATGGGCAGCGACGAAGGCCGCGCTTATACCACGATGTCAATGTCCGCTGCCTCAGCTTCACCTCGGACTCCTCCTGGCTCCTTCGGCTATGGCTCGGCAGGTCAATCGACCACGTGATTACTGGGACTATGAGAACCTCTCAGTGAACTGGGGGTGCCTGAGCTGCAGCCGGGTGTTGTTGAAGGCATACTGCCCTGAAGCAAATGAACAAGACCTCCGCAGTTGGACTTTGTAAGTGGCAGTCCGTCAACGACAGGGTCGGGGACCGGTCGTTTGCCAGATGCTTTCCGAAAGCACAGTGTGGGGAGTCTAGGCTTCGATCAGCGATCAGCACACGAGTCATACCCTAGCCAGATGAAGCAGCAACAGGTGGCGCCATCTGCTCGGAATGCGGCATGTTGGTTGCTTTGAACTTGGGTCGCCTGTACTCGGCAGCCTTGCCCGCGGCATCAGCTCACTCCTGTAGTTGCGAGATCTTTGCTTGATACCGGCAGTTCGTAAGACAGACGGTGATGACTTGCTTCGGACTGCACTCGTCTCCGACCAGCCGCCCGTGGTCATGTAGGCTTCGCACATCTTCGCACCAGATCCTAGAGTGCAAAGAGTCAGGTGTCAAGATGATTACGAAGTCCTCCGCAAAGTTGGCAGGGGCAAGTACAGCGAGGCTTCTCAGCGGCAGTTACGAGCTGGGATGTTGGGCTTGGTGCTATGGCAGGCCCTGCTGCAGGTTGACTGTGATGGACATGCGTCGTTTCAGAGTTGGAAAGGGAGAGCCCTGCAGGTTTTTGAAGGCATCCACATGGCGACGCAAGAAAAATGCGTCATCAAGCCTGGAGCACAGTCAGGATCATGTCCAAGCAAGGCTTGCCTGTTAAGCATCTCCAGGATTCTGAAGCCGGTCAAGAAGAAGAAGATCAAGCGTGAAATAAGGTCGTAAGAGTCTTGCAGCGGAGTGCTGTTGGTTGACTCGCTCAGATGCAGGATCTTACAGAACCTTTACGGTGGTCCGAACATCGTGCGGCTTCTAGATGTTGTCAGAGACCCTCAGTCGAAGACGCCAAGCTTAGCGCCACACTCAGCGAACATCCATGCGAGTATTCTGCCTGCCTGCCGCCATGATGTAGTGCCAGTGTGTGCTTGTGTGTGTGTGTGTGTGTCGCACTCGTTGATTTGTGTTGCCATTCATCTCAGTCGCCATTGCCGATGCCCTGTTTGCCGAGATATTCGAGTACATCAACAACACCGATTTCAAGCAACTCTATCCCACCCTCACAGACCACGACATTCGATACTACATCTTCGAGATTCTTCGGGTGCGGCAGCTGTCACCAGTCTCCAGCTGTCAATTGTCTGCATATGTCTGCATGCTGAAAGGCTCTCGACTACTGCCATTCCCAGGGAATCATGCACAGGGACGTCAAACCGCACAATGCCGCCAGGCTTTGATGATTTCGAAGTACAGTACCTCCTAGCGTGTGATTCTTTAATATTCTTTTGCTGGCTTTTTGAAGTTGTCTTCTGCTTGGGTTATAGCATCGTGCCCAGGTCATGATTGATCACGAGAACAGGCGCTCGTCATGCCCAGGATTGTCGGAATGAATGTGGTGTTCCTGCAACGTAGCGCAGGAAACTGCGGCTAATCGACTGGGGGCTGGCCGAGTTCTACCATCCCAATCGTGAGTACAACGTCCGGGCCCGCTGCCGAGAGTCACACGCAATTCTCAAATGACGCTTCTGCCCCTGCGCCACGGCCGCACCGCCCCTGCTGCCGATGCGCTGCTTGTCGACCCAGGTTGCCTCCCGATACTACAAGGGTCCCGAACTGCTGGCGCGGAAGTGTGCAGAGAAATGAATGCGCTCGGAGAAACGAAGCAGCGCAGGTCGATCTACAGCTCTATGACTATTCTCTGGACATCTGGAGCCTGGGCTGTATGCTTGCCGGCATGGTGCACCCCTCAGGTCTCCAGCTACACCTGCACAGCCCAGTTTTGCGATTCCTCTTCTCTTGCTTGCAGGTATTCCGAAAGGAGCCTTTCTTCCATGGCCAGGACAATTACGACCAGCTGGTGAAAATTGCCCGCGTTCTGGGTTTCTTCCCCAGCAGCTGCTTGCACAGCTTACAGGCAATTCCATCTCGGCTGAGGCACGGATGGCTTGTTTGCTTACCTGGACAAGTACAACCAAGAGTTGGATCCACATTTTGATCACATCCTTGGAAGGCCTATGCATTGTACAATCACTGCAGATGTGACAGGGGCATGCGCATCTATTATTGACGCTCTGCAGCTTGCTAGGCACTCCAGAAAAGCTTGGTCGAAGTTTGTGACATCAGAGAATCAGCATCTGGTGAGGCATCACTCTGGCTCTTTTCGCCGGCTGTGGAAGTGTGCTCCAAGTGAATTGCAGTGTCCCTGCCAGTCTGGACGTGCTGGATCTCATAGACAGGATGTTGGTGTACGACCATGTCATGACCTTGCTTTGCAGAGGTTCAGCATGGCTTTTTCGAGACAAAGCATGCAGCCTGAGGCTCAACGCATTTTGCCCAAAGAAGCGATGCTACATCCCTACTTCGCGCAGATCAGGGTGACCGTGCAGCATTGCAAGAGGGTGGTCAGATGTCCTTATGCACGGCTTCATGAGCAAGCTGAAAAACAAAGCTTACAGGAGTCAAGCCCGAAGGCTGCAGCAGCTGCATCTGAGATGCCCAAGGCCTAGGCCAATCAGGCCTTCGTCCTTGTCCGTAGCTTTGAGGAGGCTTTCAGCCAGTCAAATGCAGTTGACTGAACTTCGGCTAAAGTCTTCAATTGCAAAACCACGACAGAATCGTTTGCTGCTTGTGCTTTTTGACTTTGAGAACTACGACTTTGGTGCCCGACGTTGAGGATGCGGCCTTGCATGCATGGCTCTGGCTTGTCGGCTTTCCTTGCGACAGCTTCTAGGGCCTAGGGCAAACAGCACCGGAGCAGCAGTGACAAGCTAATTCTCGTGCAGATATGCAATCCTCGCTGATGCAAAGCTGTTGCGATACCTCTGGCGACCACAGGCACAGACAGAACCAAGCAGATGCATGTCTCTTCACACAGCCTTTCAGAGAAACTCGTCGAAACTCCGCGCGCGCACGTGTTTGACTCTTCCAAGCTGGCACGGGCAGCCGGGCCGGAGCGACGGAGCGAGGCTCGGGATGCCGAGAAAATCTCTATAGATTCTCTCTTAGGGATCTTAGAGCTTTAAACTTTAGACTCTTTAGACTCTTTAGACCGTGACAGGAGCCTTGCCATGAAGGCTTTGTGCAAGCCGCTTCGCTGCTTGTCGTTCTTTGGAGGGCGAAAGCCGCCAGATCAGTGCTCCCTCGACTTGCCAAAGTGATTTGCATGCTTAGGGCGCTCACGACTTCCTTCCAGGTACACTGCCGTGGAAGGGCAGCATTTGTCGAAAGCTGTCGATATGGATGACGAAGATGAGGAGAGCAAGCTGTGTTGCAGGTAAAACATTAGACGATGTCCCAACATGTCAGGATGATTTCTTCGGGGATTCCTGGGGAGAGGGAGGCGCAAGTTCCAGCGCATCTCAGACAAAGGAGGCCCAGCTGTTTCCTCGGGCATGTAGCGGCTAGTATGACTAGTATGATGTTGGGACTGCCCCGAACCTCCGAGAAGCTCCAGGACGTAGAGGCCCCAGTTTCAGATTGCTTTAAACATGTTTTCAGCCCCTTTCTAGTTCCACAGCCAGGCCTTTTGGACTCTTGGTGTGTATAGATGAAGCTTGTCATGGCTTCGAGCGTCCAATCACGACTGTATTTCGGCTGCAGTGTCCTAGGTTCGTGGGAAATCTCAGGACTCAGTGGTCCTGGCATTGCAGACAACATTGTACCGGATGACAGATGGGTGTCCATGACGTCTAAGTGGGCTACTGCGATCCCCAACACTCGTGTGGACAGCATGGGGATGCAGTCGGCACATGTTGGCTCCGTTCGATGGAGCCGTGTTCATTTTCGCAACCCGTTGTCAGACAAAGCAGCGTGATCAGCGATGAGAGTCCTGTTTCGGACAATGCAGGCTGAGGCGCAGCGGAGTGGGGCCCTGCTGCCATGTTGATTGTTCTTTTTTTGACCATCATGTGCAGCAGCTGCGGCAGCGGACAGGTGGAGCGAAATCCAACCAGAGAAACGACAACCAAGCGGCCAGCTCCAGGTTCAGTTGCTGTCCGCATCAGCAATGCTATTATTGCTTCTGCTCGTCTAAGAAATCATGATCTGTGCAGGCTGGTAAGTGGGCCAGTTTCCCACTCGCAATTGTAAAAAGGCTTTGCTTGCAACGACCGCCTTTGACTGCCCGACAATCCAGTTTGTCATGTGCAAACGGAAAACCCATACCTCGCGTGCATGATTCACCCTCATGGCCTCGAGATTTGGATTTGGCCATGGAGCCTCGTGTTTGAAAGTATACAGGGGCCTAAGCCTTAGTCGAGCGTATTGGCCAAATTCGGAAGAGCCGAACCCTGTAGTTGTGGCATGTTGAAGCGATGGAGCTGCTCGAAACAAACTGTATTATTGCTGTATCACCACAGCTGCCTCAAGCGATAGCACAGTCGCAGCACCTCAAGGAAGTCTCTTTCTGCATGACCTCCAAAGTCTTTCAGCCGTGCGAGGCGTTGCATCGCAGGCGCCAAAACTTGCTGCCAAGAAGCAGGCTTGCGAAGCCATCTTCGACTTGTTTCAACTTGTGGCTGAGCTCACGGCTCAGGAGGCCGACTTTTTCAACGAGTTGGGTATGGAACCCGAGTATAGGGCACCAAGGACCTGCAGAAAAGCGCTTTTCAATTTTCGTAACAGCTCGTAATGAGCAGTAAAGTGGAGTTTTTCTCCTGGGAGGATTCTTGAAAAGGAGCACGGGCCAGGCCCAAAAGGCTCCTCTGTGAGCTCCTTGCTGGATGAGACCGCAGAGGCAGAACCGCCGATTGCTGCGGCTTTCCCGTCGCTATGTCAGTGCGTCACTGTTGCATCTGTTGAGGTCTCCTCCGCAGCTTGGGGCGATGACTTGGAGCTTTGAAGGCCTCAAGGCCGAGTGCGATGCGACCAAAAATCTCCGGCGGCAAGTCTGGAGCAAAAGTGCAGGTGTCGCGATAGTTTCGGTTGCAAAGTTGTGACAGTTTTGAAGCCATTCCGGTCAGATCTTCCCTACAACGTGGTTGAAAGTATGAGTAGGCAGCGAGCAGGTGGTGCCGCAGTGCAGCGGCTGCGAGCAGCGGCACTAGAAGAACTAACAACAGTGTCCACAGCTGATCTGACTGCCATCGCTCAGTTCCAAAACTCATCCTGTCTGTCATGTCAGTTCACATGCCCCGAATTGAAAAGAACTTTTCACGAGTAGTTGCGCAAGTACTGGACAGTCAGAAGGTTTGGAGGGCAGCCCGGTTCTTGAACAAAGTCCAGGCTGAAATCTTCACGTCAGGTCCAAGGCATCCTACCTAGATGTACCTACCCTCTTGCATGTACTTTAGTGGGGGCTTAAATTTGTGTTGACGCCTGCCAGAAGAAGTTGAGCATTTAAGCTCCACGTCTTGTCCGAAACCCATGCCGGAAATTATCGCTTGCCGCATGATTCCACTTTCCGAGCTAGAGCCTCACAGCTTCGTCGGGCGACGTGTCACAGGTTTCGAATCAGTGTCGTAGCTTCTGATCAGCATATGAGTTGGGGACTAGATGGCTTTCCGTTCATGTGAGCTTTCAACTTCGGACGGAACCCAGAGCTGTTGGCGCCACAAAGTCCAATAAGTCAACTGATTGTGATAAGTAGCTTGTTGGACCTCATGCAATCTGAAGCTTTCTCAGTGGCAGCTTCAATCATTCAGCAGGTGCTACTTGAATCTGCTTGAATCTTCCGACCCTGTGTCTTTCCAGACAAGCTCCGCAGTGAGGGTGCTCTTTCATTCAACGGCAACACCGGATATTGGATACGTGTATGCCGCTGGCCGGTATGATACTCTTTGGAAGACAATCTCCGCCATGTGTTACAGTTGTGCTGAGTTCGACGGGTTGTAGCCATGCAAGGATCACTAACAGTTGTGAGGCTCTGCACCATCTCTCCACTACAAAGTTTAAGGTTTCCTCCATGTTCTAAGTGTCTTGCATAAGTAATGCACGAATCTTGGTGCGGCCGCTATGAGCTGGATGAGGGTGTCGAAGACACTCGCAGCTGAGCGCTTACCGCAGCTTTTTTGCCCTCCGCATTGAGTGCCACGTACATACATTTCTCAGGCCCTGCTGCTGGCATGGTCGCCGTGCGCGGTCGGAGGGACTTGTCCACTATCAGGCCTCGAATCAGTTTCCGCAGTGTTTGTTGGCACTGAAATTTTCTTGAGTGCAGAGGTTCCCGTGCATCTCCAGCCAACATCTTGCCACCAAATGTCTGGGCCACATCTGCGAAGGCTTTTTCTTGCTTGAAACTGCGGATGGCACAAAAGACAGGCAGAGCCAGAAAGTGGTTCGGTGCTAATGTTGTACAAGGCAAGTCTTTTCATGTTTGCTAAGCAGAAGCGCTTCTTGGCGGCAAGGGCTGGAACGTCAGCAACCTCTCCATCGAGCGCATCGAGGATCCGGAACTCTTCAAAAAGACAGGAACAAACACCGAGCATTTGGACTCAGCAGGAGACAGAGGAGACTTCCGGCTACTTGAGTCTGGTTTTTGACGGGCCGGAGGGCGGTGGTTCATTGCAGGCGGTTCCAGCGAATGCACACGAAGCGTAGTGCACCTGGGCATTCTCACAGGCTGGCGAGAGCTTCTCAGACATGGACGAGCCCGCTGCTTAGACGACCGCCCAACAGCAGCAGCCTTGCAGAAACCTTTGCATCAATGGATACTGCTGGCCTTAGCAATGCATGGCAGGCAGGCAGCTCGTTCTAGTGTTCGGTTCTGATTCTGCAGATCCCAGTTTGGGTCATGGGGCCCCCCGTGAGGAACATGCGGACATGCGTAGACTGCACACCTCCCTGCCTCTACCGCGATGCTTGCACGGTTCCGCTTCTCGGACAGTCACCTGCGGCCCCGAGATCTCCCAAGCCGCCTTCCCAAGCGTAGGCCCAGAACCGCTGTGAGCCTTCGTGGAATGGGACAAGGTTACGGTTATATGCTCTCGAAACGTCTCGAAGCTTCCCATTCCATCTTGACAGAAAGTTTGTAAAACTCTGAGATACGTACTTCGTCGGATTCGCATCTCCATGCCGAGCGAGCCACGCACCAAGAAGTCTTCGTGGATGATGGTTGATGCATGCAGAGCACATACAGCACCACTGTGACAACTGTGTCAAGGCTGTTACCGTTTGCAGTCAAGGCACACGTTGCTCAACCGACGTCTGCCTTTGGAGGCCGAGGGGTGTTTTTGAGTTTCGCTTCGACTTGTGAAGCCGGGCCGGCCGGGCTTAGCTTAACTGAGGTGCAACTTTGGCACGAGCCGGCAGTTCATCGGGATATCAGCCGGCTGATCACAGCGCGAGCGAAGGCCGTGGTGCCGCATGGTGCCGCGTTGTAGCATGTTGTAGCACAAGTTCGTGCATGTTTACCCTTATCTGCCTTATCTGTTGCATGTGTTTCCTGTTTCAGCCGATCATGGTCACTTCTGTCTGGCAGCTCTGGGCATCGCTGTCGTATCCATGGGCATATTTGTCCGTGCAACTACCGACTCTTTACGCTGCCCCACCCGAGCGACGGCCGCACTCAGGTGCCGCATGCATCATATTTCGCTTGATTTTGCTTTGGCTTACTGTCGGGGTACCGTGGTCTGAAGATACCCAATTGCATGCGTTGACCTGCTTTGCACGATCACTCATGAAAGTGAAAGCTCCTGTGGGGTCGGGTGTCCTGTTTGGATGTGATGAGAGCAGGATGCTTCTGTAACTGCAAACCATGGCACGGCACTAGTGCTTTCCAGCTGCGCCTCGCGGCCGCCCAAGTGCCACATCGTCTCCAAACGAGACGTGTCCAATCGGCTGCCACGGTTTGAGAGTGGTTCTTCCGCTAGGTCGGTTGACGCCACTCCGAGAAGAGAATGGCATTCAAATTTTCACGATCGTTTTGATGTCTCATGGTCCACCATGTGGAGGATCTGGCCCTCTGCTGTGGTCCCGTCTCGAGTGCGCGAAGCCAACTTGTCAACGGGAAGTTAGAAGCTCGAGAAACGGTTTTCTCACGAGGGTATCGTTGCGATCGTGTCTTTGCCTGGCTTATGCTACCGGGCCAAAGACAAAGGACACCTGAGAGCACTCAGGCACCGGGGTGCGAAGCGAGCCAGAGACTCTGTAGGGCCAGGGTTCAGGAGCATGTTGAGATTGCTCTTACAGGATGGGGGAATGACATTTTCCTGCTAGAGTCTGCTAGTTTCATTTTTTTGTTTTAGTTTTTCTGCTCGTCCGCTTTCAGTATGCAAAACGACAGCGACACAGGCGCAAACGGGTGTCGTCGTTCACGATTTTGAGTGAGCACGGTCCGTGGGCCTGGGTCACAGAACCGAAAACAAACGAATTCCCAGATAAAATACAAAAGTCCTAAATGAATTCCGCGGCCTTCTCCTGCCCTGCGACAAGTCGAAGATTCTTCTCCTTGCATCTGGCTTGAGCAACCTGCTTGTGAAGAGCAAAGGAAGCACGAGTGCAAAGGAATGCTCATGACACAATGCGAAGTAGATGGCATGAGCCGAATCAGTGGGTTGACGAAGTCTTTTTTAGCGCTTCAAGCTGGGCTCTGTTGCAGGTGCAGCAGATGCTGCGAAGGTGCATTCCGATCGAGTGTAAAAATGCATGTCATTACGTGACGAATGTGAGGTTCCACGGCCTCATCCGCGACTGGCAGTTTCAACTCAAGCGCCAAGAGGAGACTCGGGGACTTCTAGGACTCCGCAGAGCCGCCCACCTCTGGCAAAGCTGCAGCTGCTGACAGGATCCCTCCGCAACGAACGCTTCCTTTCCGAACTTGCAGACCGAAAGAGACTGGGCGAAGGGCTCTGCAATGTGAAGGTCGCATGACTTTGGCTTTCTCCGCATACTCATGCATACTAAGGCCGAGGCTGTGCGACGTGACAGCATTCAGGAGCCAGCCATGAAGAGTGGGATTTGCTACCTCAGTCGATTGGCGAGCATGGCCAGGATGGGGAGGCGTTAATGCAGCATGCTAGCCAGCTGCGCCGTCAGCTCACGTCTCAGACGCAGTCTTGCGCATGAACCTGTGATGCAATCCGGATATCCCAGGATCGCCAAGATTGATGAAGAGGTCGAGGTGCTGAACGAAAGGCACCACTCCAGCTTAGATGAATGAATGTGAGATATTATTCGCCGACAGGCTGCAACGGCCACAGTCGGCACGCATGGTCGCACTCTCGCTTCTGTATGCTGCGCCGCATGATGCAGCAAAGCCGGCGAGTTCACTTCTTCGTGCCTACGCTTTCGAATCATACCCTCTGAAGTTCTTGACAGAGCCGCTCGGCCTAGCCTGTCGGCCAGGTGTTCGCCGCTTCGGGCCACTTCCTACGTTGGCTTACCTTGGCCATCAAGCGCAACGAGGCCTCTGGTCAGCCTGGTCCTGGCAGCAACGTCCCTGCTGCCTTTGAGCTTAACATTCCATGCAGGAGCGACCACGGCCAGCAAAACGCAACAAAGCAGTTGAGCCTCAGTGTGATATGCTCGTACCGCAACGCGCAGCTGCGTTCAATCTAGTGGCAGATGCTTGGAGAGTCGGGCAGTGGAGAAGAGCGTTTGCAGATATTTGATGCGATGTCCGGTTGAACTGTGCCCAGCCTTCGTCAAGTTTCGTAGCAAGGGGCAGGGAGAGACGTCAACGTGTGCGAGTTTCGCCAAAGCATTAGGATCGTGCTTCATGTCTTGAAAGTGTGGAAGCCGTGCTAAGATTTTTTCTGGCTTGGTCATCCAGGCCACCTCCCATGTCAAGGGTGCGAGCACAGGCACAAATGCGGATGTACTTCAAGAATCGGTACTCCCCTCCCTCTGTTTGTGAGTCTCTCTGAATCTTTGTGTCTCTGTCTTTCTCTCTGACATTCCTTCTTTGCCTTCTTATCGGGGCAGTTGGTAGAAACTTTTGATGGGAGAAGGCTGTGTCACTAATGAGCTCACGGGAAGCCGTGTGCCTCGGCATGACAAGCGAGAGGGGAAACCCACATGCAACAGCATGGGTCAGGGCCACTCCTACCGGACTGAAATCATCGCCCTCGAAGCAGGCATGTGTGCAGCAGGGATGCAGAAGCAGCAAGCATTGTCACATGTTCTCCGGCGGCTGAATCTGAAGTATCGGGAGGGACGGGAATCTCTGGTGCAAGAGCGCTGAGATCCTAAGCATGCCGTCGTTTGCCACGTTGCAACCGAGGCATTGCAAGCTGAAGTTCAGCAACTCCAGCAGCGCCTTCACGAAATGCTCCTCGTCTGGACGGCTTATGTAACCTACGTAGCAAGCTGAAGAAATCTCCCAAATGCATCACATGCATGGGCTTTGAGGCAAGCGGAAAAGAAGGACGAATTGGATGGCACGCTCCTAAGTGCTGTGATGGTGCGGGATCTCTCTTTCCCTGTCTCTCTCTCTCTCTCTCTCTCTCTCTCTGCCTTTGACTCTTTCTGAGTCTGTCTCTTTGCTGCCTTTGCTCGATCTATTCCTCTGTCATGGAGGGCCTGAGTAGGCGACTTGGGGCACTGCTAGCATGGGTGGAGTTGGCGTGTCTGCACTGGAACCTCTGAATGGCACGAATCTAATGGAGTTCCACTAAGCAACACGAGGTCTCACCAGCCATCGGTCGGTGTGTGTGTGTGTGTGTGTGTGTGGCGGTGTGCCTGTCTTCTTTCAAGACCAGCGGACCGCAGTCTCAGGCCGAGGGGAGGAGCGTCAACTGCAGACCCGCCTTTCTGCAGCACATCATTGAAGGGCTGACTTATGCTGATTTGCAATGAGCTGGATGGTGCAAGTGCGTGTGAGATGTGAGGTCATGATGCTCAAACTCTCCAGGATCAACCTCTTGAGGCAAGACTTTGCCATGTCTTTACATGTGTGCGTGTGCGATCTGCTTTGGTCTGTATGTGTGAGATTGTGTGTGTGTGTGTCTGCGCACGTGTACACCCAACCGCCCAGCATTGTGACCTCTCGCATGCAAGACACACTTGCAGAGTTCCTGCCGGAGCCCATCGGAGCAATGGTGGTGGTACACTGTGTCTTCTCCTACCTGTACCTCCCACTCAGCAACTCCCACCTGGCACCTGCTGCCTACTGCTCCTCCTCCTGATGAAGGCGAGCACAGCTCGAGAAGCCGGATGCTTTGTTTGAGTCTCTTCTTCGCCGAGCTGTGCTTTACCACGCAAGCATGCGAATCTGGTTGTCTAGCTGTGGTCCCTTTTCTTGCAGTCGGATACTCATAGATGAGCCAAACACCCTGCACAGGAAGTTGTCAAGCATGCTGCAGTGCCGAAGGATCAACCAAGCATGCGTCAAAATCAGCAGTCACCATACCATATTGAAATGAATAGGAAACCATGCGGCCGAACGCCACTTTACTCTCGTGCCTCTGGGCCCTGCTTGGACTCCGCAAGCCCCCGCAGCTCCGCTCAACGACATCCGCGAGCCGTCCTGCACCGTCTTGTCGCCCGAACCGCCTGCTGTGCGTCTACTTGCTAATTCTCCGTGCTTCTACTCCCCCTTCCTAGCTTTCGTCCGCCCGGCTCTCAAGTACCACGAAAGCTGATACTACCCCTACCACCATTACCACCACTAGCACCGCTAGCACTAGCACTGGCACTAGCACTCACCAGCACTAGCACTAGCGCTACCCCTACCGCTACTGCTACCACCCCCGCTGCCACTGGCACTACCACTACCTCTACCGCAACCACGAGACTACGACGACGACGGCTACTACTACCACAACTACTACTGCTACTGCTGCTACTCCTCCTCCTTCTCCTACTACTACTACTACTACTACTACTACTACTATTACTACTACTACTACTACTACTACTACGACCACCACTACTGCCATTGCTACTACGCGTACGAGTAACTGACTACTACTACTACTACTACTACTACTACTACTACTACTACGACTACTACTACTACTACTACTACTACTACTACTACTACTACTACTACTACTACTACTACTACTACTACTACTACTTGAGCTACGACTACTACTACTACTACTTGAGCTGCTGCTGCTGCTACTACTACTACTAATGTACGACTACGGCGACGACGACGACGGCGGCGACGACGACGACTACTACTCCTACTACTATTAGTACTAGTACTAGTACTAGTACTACTACTAGTACTACTAGTGCCATCTACTTCACGTGCTAGTACTACTACTGCTGCTACTACTATACCACTACGGCGACGACGACTGCTACTACTGCTCCTCCTACTATTGCTGCTGGACCAGATGTCTTTTTTCCGAATCATTGTTGAAGGATGGAATGGCGGTGGCAGGGAGCCGTAATATGTACGGTCAGTGCCATGAGCAGCCGGACAAATTCTGTGCCGTCGTCGAATGCATCGGATTGTGCGAGACGCGGGCAATGCAATTATGCTGCTACGACGACGACGACCACTATTACTACGACTAATACGCCTAATACTACAGTCTGGGAATGCCGGGGATGCAATTATTGCCTGTGATTGGATTGGAAAGACAAGGCGGTGCTCCCAGCTTCCCCGCTGATGTGCCGGGCAGTGTGTCCTGGCAACCTTCGTCCCTTCCCATGCCTTTGATGCCGATTCAGCTCCACATCAGTCCATCAGCGATTGACGGTTACAGAGGCGAGCGACATCCGGCTGGCTTGAAGTTGTGGGCCAGAACGCTTCGAGCATTATCGATGCAGCTTTAAGATGGAAAGCAGAAGAGAAAGGGATTTCCTGGCCTTTGCGGGTGCCCTGGAGTTGCTTCGGATAAGCCACCAGGTCTCTCGACGAACTTGTGGGGGCTGGCTTGTCCTTTTTTACTGCACGGCACCCTCGGCTGGATCTTTCCTGGCTTTCCTCCTGGGAGGATGTGGGAAGCTTATTCTGGGCTGTATTTCAGGGGCTGCCTTTGCTTACTGGGTTTTTGCTGGAGGCTTCAAAGCCGCTGCGAGGACTCAGGTGCAGGAGCCCGAGCCTGCTCCGTCCAGGGGACGAAGACGTCCTTCAGGATACTTGCATGGGTGACGAGGAGGCCGAATAGGATCTTTGATTGCAGATCGAGGGGGTCTCTTTAAACGACTTCGGGGTCTTAGGGTCCTCGAGCCTTTCTCAGCCGGCAGGAACCTTTGTCGCCTTCGGGCTCTCAGTCTTCCTTCCCGGTGGTATCCCTCCCCTTGGAGGCAACCTTCAGTGCAAGCCCCAACCCGTGTGCATCCCGCAGGGAGGTCTTCTTCGGACTTCCCCGCGGAGGCTAGAGTCGCTGTGGTGGAACCCGTCAAGGACCTCTGGGCCGCCTTGAGGCGGCGAATGCAAGAGCGAGCAGCCGCCTGGGCCGCGAAGAAGTCCTGAGCAGGACGAGCCGTGTGATGGTTATGCCAACGGTGTCGTAAAGAGCTCTAGCGTTGGCCTCCTTGGCGTGGAGCACTGCGAGAGTGAGCCGGAGGGTTGGCTCGGAACAAAGTCAGCGGTTTCGACGCGGAGGCAGAAGAAATCGTCGACAATCAGCCGTCCTACGGGCCCTGCCTGGATACCCTTGACCTGGCCTGCAGCCTACATTCACCTGTACGGCAACCAACAAGACTTCGTGTGCCGAGGCCGCGTACCAACGTCGCCCTGCAGCAAGGCTTTGAAAGCTGGATGCACCGCCAGGCTGTCCGACCCGAGAACCGACTTTCGGGGGAAGTCGAGCACCCCTTCACAGGAAAGACAAGGCCCAGGCTTGGCCGGCGAAGACCCGGTCGAGGAAAATCTTGAACACGGGCCTGCGCAGGGAAGACATTGGAACAGGCTGCCGGCATGCCAGAAGTTGAGGCCCATGGCCACGACATGGATGCACTGCCGGATGCTCTTGTGCAAACGGTTGGAAGCTGAACTCTGCGGGAGCCATCGGAGAAAACCCCAAGAAAAGCAAGGGGTAACGCAAAAGTTGGGGTTGACAGCAGCCCCGAGACTGTCCGGGAGGGCATGACGCTCATTGGGCGCCCGTTGACAAAAGGCTCGCCCTTGCAGCTGCGTCGATTCGAGCTGCTACCCTGCCCGCTGTTAGCGAGGAGCTCGCTGACGTGTTTTGCGGCTCCTGCGTGTCATGCTTGATGCATCGATGCCCTGTGCCCGCCTCCGATGCCTCAAACAACCACGGGGCATTCTGTGAGCTCCCATTGCCGGCCAGTGCTGCCTTGGACCTTGGGTTGGCTTCTGATCCGACTTTAAGGGTCATTCTGTCAGGCTCGACCGGTCCAAGTCTAAGTGGCCCGAGGCTTGTGTGAGCTCGGCCCGGGAAGAGGTCGATCAACCTGACGGTGAGCCAGAGGCCACCCCGCCCGACAAAGAAGGCTCGCCAAAGCCGCTAACTTTTGATTTTGACTTCCTTGAGGTCGGAGTTTGGGGCGGCGTCGTCGCAGAGGTTTCAAAATCGGCGCCGTCGACAAGGACAGGTCGAGGCAGTATGAGGCAGTATGATCCTGGGTCGCCTGGCGTAGGAAGAAGTGGGGAGGGTGACCGGGGCACCCCAACCGATGGCAGCCAGCATGCGCTTGTTGTCGCTATGGACCTGCTCACCTCCGACACCAAGACAAACAGGCTTGAGGTGGGACCTGACCTTGGGGAAACAGGCAGGCGAAAAGGAGGCAGAGGCAGGGGCAGGGGGGAACGACCTGAGTCGTCTGCTGGCCATCAAACTCCGTCAAAGCGGATCCTTGCCTTAGCCTTAGAGGAAACAGGGTGTGGAGGAGCGCAGTTCTGATCCGGCGGCCCTATTCCCTTCCCCTTCTCCTTCGCCTTTCCGCTGTCCCTTCCCCTGCCTCTTCCCCTTCCACTTCCCCTTCCACTTTCCCTTCCGCTTCCACTTCCGCTTCTCCTTTTTCTTCTACTTTTACTTCCACTTCCTACTTCTACTTCCAGGGGTGTGTTTGTTTAGAATCAGTAGCATCGGTGCTCGTGACGCGCATGACACTGAATCATCGCACGGCTAGGTTTCCTCACATTTTGTTGCTCGGCAAATGCAGGTTTTTCACTTCGAAGAGTTCCGTACTTTTGGCAAGGAGTGACCGCCCTGATACGGACAGCTTGAGATTGTCGTGAAAGGTCCTGACTATGTTAAGAATTGTGAGACGCACGAAGGACTCAGTCAGAGCCCTTCCTTTGACAGCACTGGCATACGATGGCAGCTTCACCAGGCAGAGTCATATCGCGCGAATTGATGGCGCAAAACTAGACTCATTGCTACAGTCCCAGGCCGCCCTGCACTCCAGTTGTGCCAGTGCCTCAAGGGCTGACCACAAGAGCTCGCGGACGAGAGTCTTGATTCAGACGTACGCCTAGCATGTGAATTCAAAGGTGAAACAAAAAAAGGGCTTACCGAGGGGTGCGGAATCCAGAGTCATCGCACCTGAAGCCCAAGCGAGGCCTCAAATCAGGTCCTGACGTTGGGCAGGGAATTCATGAATTTCACAGGTCCAGGTGCAGGGGTGTGCTGGCACACGGAGAAACAAACAGTAAGGATCAGGCCTTCGACTTGATCGTTGATGCAACGTGCATGTCTTGTCAAGCGCGAAGTTTCCTGGAAGTGATAGCTATATTTGGCAAAGTTTATGGCAGCTTCATATGAGTAGCGCAGAACAGCTGCTGTCTCAACCGCGCATAGTTGCCTTCTGGGATGTCAGGCGCTGGTACCTTGTGAGCGAGCCACAAGCAGCTTCGGCCAAGGACATGCGGAGCTCGTGTAGGTTCCTGGAACACTAGTCAGGGTTTTGACATCCCTTGCTGGTGTGTAGCAGATGGCCTGACGGCAATGCATAACATTGCAACCTCATGGGCAGCGCCTTGTCTCCAAATTGTCTGGGTGCAGGATATGTTGGGCTTGGCTGCAGTTGTGCCAGAATCTCGGTCAGGGGAAAGAGCGAGATGCTGCGACTGCTGTTGGCTGTCAGGTTGGGCGACGCCCAGCACGGCCCGGGCCCGCCTTGCCAACGAGTCCAAGGCCGCCACTCGCGATTCGCAACTTGTGCTTCGACTGACGAGAAGTCACCCTCGAGGCCTGGAGGTTTGCCACGAGAGCATCAGTCCATCTGATGGAGTGTGGTGGAGCGGACCGATCAAGCAAGTCCCTGAGGCGCGGCATTTCTGATTCGAGCGTTGTGGCTTCGGAAGGGTATTTCCTGGTGCAGTCTGGAACAAGATTCCCCGACCAACTCATGCACACAGTCTCGCTGGGCAGCAGCCTTGGATCTACCTTTGAATTTGCAAAAACATTATGTGACTTGTGTGGCGATGTAGCATAGTATGGGTACATGTCTTTCTCCGCCAGCCCAAGAACTCCTTGCCCACTGTTGCAGCGAGCTCGATCTACACATGAACAGAGGGATGATCATCATCATATTTTGAGCAAGTTTGGCGAACCAGGCAGGCCCAGGCAGGCCCAGGCAGGCCCAGGCAGGCGAGACAAAAAGAGAGAAGAAACCACACGATGCGCACACCGAGAAGTGAATCAACATTCCTTCTATGTCTTGGTGCGCAGGACAGGCAAAGCATGCAGAAGCTATCAGGTGATGACCAGTGCCACTCGTTGCAGCGGCCACTCTATGAAAACTCTGTTCGCCCTACAGAACCAACACGGATGCGAAATCGGATAGTGCCGAAGGCAAAAGGCGTATCAACTCGATTCAACTCGCACTTAACAAGTGGCTGTTCATCCTAAGCCATGAGAGATGGCACTTTGGCAAGAAGCCAGGCATGAGCGCTTCGCCACTTGACCTGGGAAGCTCAGAAAGCCTGCAGAGAGTGTCTTCAGAGAAATTTACGGCGGAATGATGGAACATGATGGGACTTGGGGCTGCGCGTACCGTGGAGCCTGTCCGCCTGACCTACAGGACCTAGGCACAGTCTGACAACTGAATGGAGCCTCCGAGCCGACTCCACACCGAAAGAACCCATTTACATCAATTTACATCATCAGCTCGCAAAGTCGTCACACTCCAGAGGGGCACCTCCGGTCGAACGATGCGTGGTCCTTTCGCTACTCGCCATGACCTGCCATGACCTCAGCCGAGGGTTTGGCTCTTTCCACAAGCCCAAAGAGACACACCTCAGCTCGCAGCTGGTGCCGAGCCTCCAAGCTTGGGCTTGGGCTTTCCGCGGAATGTGCTGACTCTGGAGGTTTCACGTCTCCCGTGGCTTTATGTACAAGCTTGCTGCGCTGTCCTCCTGCTCTGTCCGGCTCGTAGCACACACGCTGACGCTATCCGAACTTGCTTACAATTTCCTTCTGAGAGGCTCCATCGCCATGCTGGGAGCCACATGCTCCATGTGGTCGCACCAATGTTGTGATCTCTGAGCCACAAAGACTGGCGCTCAAGAGAACGTAGGTTTTTCGGTAGCGGAAAAGAACGGGTGTGCGATTAGGCGATTCTCGGGTTTCCGCGCACCTGCATGGCAGCTTGCAGAGGCATGGGGGACGTGACATCGGGGTGCTTCAAGGACCATCCAGATTTGCAGCCATCGTCGTGGCCCAAAACAAGGATAGCTTGCGACTAGTTATCGGTTCCATCTTGGCGGTCCGGCGCCCAGTTCGGCACACACGTTGCGGCAGTTGCACCGACCGCGGAGATGCGATCCAACTGCGAACAGTTCCGACGCAGTTCCGTGCAGCACTCGACATCCGGAGGGCTGGCCGCTTGCCGGAGGCATCCGTGCAATAGATTCCCAGCCAATGAAGCTGCCGCTAGCCGCTAGTCACTTCGATGACGGCCCGAAACCGCAGCCGCGGCACCTACAGTCCAGAGAAACCGCATGTCGAGAGTTACTTCAGGACCCAATGAGCGAAGCCGGCAATGCCTACAGCGGCGGCATCAAGGAGTGCGTTTGCTTGCAGGTAGTGCATGTGGCAAAGTTGGTGCTGCCTTGCTGATTCGGACGCTGCATCCTGTTGCCAAAGGACGGCTTATTCCATGGCAAAGGTACTCTGACCTATGCAGGGAACGAGCGCTACGAGGGTGAGTGCAGACCTGAGACACAGCGGAGTTTGCAGGATAGAGTTGTTCACGTCTCGCAACAAGGTGGGTCTATGGCAAGAGGGAAGGCCATGGCAGGTGTGCAGCATGGCGCAGCCGTGTCACGAGCCAGGCTAGAATTGATTTTGAGCGAAAGGTTTACGTATGCGGATGGTGCCATCTTTGAGGGTCAATGGGCAGAGGCGGCCGGCTTTGTTGACACTGTGAAATCACAAGCTGACTGTGGAGTCATTCCGCCGTTCTGTGGAGGACAGGATACACGGCCAGGGCGTGGCTGTCTTCGCATCGGGAAATCGCTATGAGGGCACATGGGAGAATGGCCGCATACACGGGCACGGCTCGGTTCCAAGCGCACGTTTGTCCTTGTTGCCGCAACATGTTTGGAAGAGACTCGAGGAACTTTGACCTACTCCAACAAAGACCAGTACGATGGCGACTGGCCACTTGGCTCATGCATTGATTCCAAGCGAGGTGTTCCGCACGTGAACCCTACGATGTTCCACGCTTTCAGGCACGATGGCAAAATGCATGGGCGAGGCACCTACCGCTATGTGGGGCCCTCAGTTCTTGTTGAGTTTCAAACATGCATTGATTTGCAAAAAAGTGCACATATCGGCATCCATTGACAACCGAGGCAGAAGGTGATGTGTATCAGGGTGAGTGGCGGGATGATAAACGACACGGGAAGGGGGTAGTCACCTACGCTGCTGCCTCAGACATGTGTAGTCAATATCTTTACTCGGTTGCGTGTGTCCTTTGTGTCCAAGACTGTCTATCCAAGGTCAGTGCACGAGGTAGCGTCGTTGAGAAGTTTGAGGGTGACTGGGTCAATGGGAAGATGCATGGTCACGGCAAGTACCCCTCGGCCTTGTCCTGATCTTGTGCTGTGCTGTTCTGTAGTGCTGCTATGTTTTTGCCAGGTACCAGTATGCTGATGGTGGAGTGTACGAGGGTGACTGGCATGACGGCAAAATGCATGGTAAGGGCATCTATGTCGGATACTAAGATGTCGGCTTGACAGAGGTAGTCCCAGGTGGATGTTTCGAGGGAGGGACAGGCGGTACCCTGCGAGCATGAATTGCGAGGTCTTCCCGAACGGGAACACGTACGATGGTGAGTGGGTGAATGACATGAAGGAAGGCGCATGGAGCAGATTGCTTGCAGCAAATCGGCACACCCTGTGACGACGGGAGGCTATGGTACGTTGACTTACCAAAACGGGGAGAAGTATGATGGCCTTTGGAAAGCTGACAAGGTGCTTTCTGGGAGCACGCAGACACAGACTCAGCTTAGAGGCAGCTGCCTTCGGACCTGATCTTACCTAGAATCTAGAATGTTACTCACAGCACGAGAATGCCCATGCGATACATGTGGCCAGAAATTCCCTTCGAACGCAAGCGTTCGCATTGATGCTGTTGAGGTGCATGGCAAGGGCACCCTTGTCTACACTTATGGAGACAAGTTTGTTGGTGACTGGGTTGACGTGGGCACCTTACTGTTGGCTGTCGTGCACCAATGGTTCAACAAATGCAGTGCGAGGCCAAGAAAGAAGGTGAGGGTGAACTCATTTACTCTAATGGCGATCGGTTCAAAGGCTGGGGTCCGGGTGTGCAAGCCGCCCGTGCTAAGCACGTAGTTTTGTGTACATGACATGGCGAAGGTCAATGGGTTGATGACAGAGCCTCCGGATACGGGGTGTTCGTTTATTCCAATGGCAATCGCTACGATGGCCAGTGGCTAGATGACAAGCGTGTGATGCTGAGCTGATCGAGAGAAGGTGGCATTGTATACTCTGGTTGCGAATAACAATTCAGCTTGGCTTAGGTCACGGCAGGGGCGTCTTCGCATGTGCTGAGGAAGCGGCCAACTAACTGGTTCCGTTCACAAGTGCTTTCGTCAAGTTGCCAGGATGGATCAGTCTACGATGGAGAGTTTGCATTTGGAAGGAAAGAAGGCAGATCTTGTCATTCGCTGAATGTCGCTGCGACATGTGCCGCAAATCTCATGATGACCAGCCTGCGATGCGCGACGCAGTCGTGATCGGCTTGCCGGTTTGCAGGGGTCGGAAATCTTTCCGAGATCCTTTCGGCATCGCCATGTGTCAGTTCATACGTTTTTTGGGTGGCACGCAAGCACTGCAGAGAACATGCCGGAACTTGGCTCCGCCTTTTGTGAACCTTGGTCGAAAGGTGAATGGCAACAGCACTTCGTACTTGCAGTGCAAACTTGCAGCAAATCAACTAGCAAAACCAAGAGCTATCTTAAGACGTCGCGCAAGTTGTCGCTGCGACTGTCTGGCACATCCGACAGACACAGTTTTCGTGGAAGGCCGAGGTGTGCTCAAACTGCAAAGTGGGCACGTTCTAAGCGGTGTCTGGAAGTCACGACCTTGGAGGATGGAAAAGGCACGACATTTGCTCAGAGTGTAAGTGACTTCAGGCAAGGAGAGCTCGCCCAGGCCAGAAGAGTTGCGTTAAGAGTTTGCTGGTTTTCGGTTTTGGCGGATCTGTTCTGTCAGGTGGTGGAGTTCGTCTTTTCGGCGGACTCGCCCTGGAAGAATCCAGATTTGTGAGTTTCACCCAAGCTTGGCGCGACTATCGCTACTGATATCGTGCCGATACCTTCTCACATAGTTGCATGACTCTTCTGGCTCCTATTTGTACTTGCGCAGGCGAAGTGTTGCATTTGAGTCATGCCTCATGTTTCGATTTATGTTATCTCGGCCGAGCTGCTTGCAGAGGCAGCAGGCTTCGTACCACTAGGGCGGCACCCTTGATGCGCATCCTTGCTACGTGCTGCCATTGCTATCCATTCCCTTGATAAGCCTTTGCCAGGCCAGGGTCTGCCACAGGATGCCGTCGCAAGAAAGTGTGGGTAAAGGCTCTCAGATGGCCTCAAACGCGCATGCCACTCTTTGAGTGCTGCATGAGGGAGCCTCAAACACAAAGATGTTTGTTCTTGCTCCAGTGCAGTGAGCAGCAGATCATATCGGTGTCGGTTATTTTTGGCATTTTCAGGGGGTTTAAAGTTACGAAGTTTAAGGTTTCAGAAGAGAGAAGTCAGAGATGTCAGAGATTTCCTTTGGAGAGCTGTGCTCCTCTCCGCGTCACTCTGTGTGTCCCCCCAGACCTGAGCCGAGCAGGCCGAAAAAGGGCGGAGCCAAAGCACCATGTTGTTGCATCAGTTGCATCCTGGTTGTGATCCGATTGCCCGCCCTGCCGCCATCTGCCGCCCTGCGCCTTCGGCAAGTGCTCAGCACGCTCAGCACTTCTATCGGCACGGAACTGCGGATGGTACAGCATTCTACGACCTCTGAAAGGTTCAGAAATTCACTACTCTGATTTGGGCATTACTGCGATTGCTGCGTTTCGCGATGGGATATGATCCCGTTCAGCGCAGCCTGCAATGGAAGCGCCGCGTTGACCAGGAGGCTGTCTGCCGCAGGGGGCCGACGTCGTACGGTTGCAGCAAACGGTCTGCATCCTTTCGCCTACCTGCAAAAAGCGTTGAGAGCGGCAAGGATGTACTGCGATTGCGACTCACCATGGCAACTTTCTGAAATGAGCAAAGTGAAACGAGCACGAAGAGGCTACCCGGCCATGCCAGTGGACCCATCCAGCATCTACACTACACATGCCTCTGCAAAGCAGGTTGTGATCATTTGGCTATGTGTGAGAGCCTGTTGGGTTTCTTCCTAGTCGGAGTTGATTGAGTCAGCGGCATCAGTGATGCCATGCCCAAGTCAACAGGCATCCCCAGAGCAAACAAGTGGCGTTGCTTATGAAGTTTCAAGGAATGCACAGATGTCGAAGCATCTTACAGCAGGAAATAACGGGACGACATGAGCGCAACGTCATGAAGTGTGGGTTCATTTGTTCTGCTCCGCTTTTGCTGTGTGCGGTCTTTTCTTTTAACTAGTGCGCGTGTTGCTATTCCTTTCTCGAGTCTGTCTTTTTGCCTCATCTCTTCTCCCGGTGCGTCTCTGTTCTGCTCGCCTTTCTGGTTCACTGTTGCCTGTTCGTGTGCTTCATCTTTCCTTATCCGTGTTTTTCTGCCTGAGTTGCATCATGTTGCCATGCTGCGTTGTGACGTCTTGCATTACATGACAGCTTGTCCCAAGTTGCTGTGATTTAGGATCCCGCGGCCAGTGTCATATCTCTGGGAGGAGCTTGCGCTCTGTCAGCGATTCCTTGCGGCGAGCACGACCCAAAGTTTCGCTGCGAGACAAAGCCACGGTGCCTTTACCTGCAGTTTCGCTGCTGCGAGGCAGAGGGTCGCACGAAGGCGAAGAGAGCTCGCCACACTGGCTTGTCTTTCTCTTCTACTGGGTGAGGCCGTGACGCCCTGTGAACTTTCCACTAGAGCCTACCGCGACCATGCCCTCGTAACATGTTTGCCAGCGCACCATGATCCGCCATGCGTAAGTGCTTTGACAAGAACGTTGGGCACAGGTCATTTACCAGTGTAGCTGCTTGTGCTGGAAAGTAAGTCGATGCGATGCCACAGCTGGGTAGGGACGCAAGCTATCGTGCCTCGTCATGCATCTTGGCCACCTTAGGTAAGGTAAATTTTTGTACATTATGCCGTTGTGCCAACAGCACTGCTGATTCATGGTGGCACAAGCAAGTTTTGAGGTGCTGTGAAGAGCAGTGCCAACTTCCAGGTTTGTATCGATTCCATGTTGGATGTCATAGTACCAGGTACCCTGCACAGGCCCACGAGCAGCCAACGCATGCGCACACACAGTGGCACAAGCACACAAGCCGCATGCGCACATGCATGTACACGCTTAGAACATCAAATAATACAACATGATAAAATCTGACCTGATGTACTCTAATACAATTTAGTGTGAAACACAGTGAAACATATATAATGAAATATGTTCCAAAATATCGATGGACACCTACACCAATACAAAAAAATAGAAGGCAATGTAACATAAGTATGCTAGATACAACAGACTGCAAACCTTGTATATAATAGACAGAACATACTAGGATAAATTGAAACATGACAAAATATGAAGGGATACAGCAGAACATAAATACAATATGTGAGTATACTAGAACATAACAAGAACAAACTACTAGGTTTGCTAGAACATAACAGAATATCTCAGGACATAGTACAATACAGTGGAATGAAGCAGGGCATAGTATAATCGAGTGAAGTGCAGTGTGGCAAAGTACAGCATAACATAGCATAGCGTGGCAAGGTGGAGCAGAATATAGCACTAGCATAGTCTAACCTAGCATAACACTGCATCACAATACAGTATAAGAGCACAGTACTAGATAAGTATAGTTTGTTATAATGTGTTTTAGTATAGGGCACGAAAAACATAGTCTGGCATGCTGCAATGAAGCCTGATATGATATGATGCATTACACCATTTGATGTAGCATGATACGACATGCTATAGGTCAGTATATGATAGCAGGGATGCATGACACGCCAAAACCTAGCATCATGTCGTATCCACCATACCGTATCGTACAATACACTAGAGTATACCATAAAGGTACCAAGCAGCAGCATGACAACACATAATCTAGTACATTATAGGATAATGTGTAGATTCAGCATACAACACATATGGTATTGTGTTGCGTGTATGTTTTACATTATAATATGACTTCAGAGTACACTGCATTTCACTCTAGTCCATTCTATGCTATGTTGTTATTTTCTGCTGTGTTATTTTTTATGTTCTTGCATTCGATGTTATTCGGTTATATCCCGGCAGGCCCTTTGATTTTCTAATATCTTCTATTGCATGATGTGATTATGTGATCTTGTTTGAAAGATGCTCTGTTCTGGTTTTTGTTATTACATTGCAGTCTTCTCCATTATAGGGTGTTCCACTAATCTATTCTATTCTATGCTCTTTCATTCTTTACTGTTTTCTGTTATATTCGATGACGCTTTGCTGTCCTTGCTATTCAGCTACTCCACAGCAGTGTACAGTGCATTTTGCTTGACTCTGTCGTATTGTAGCGGTTGATATTATGTTACGGTGTATCACGTCTTTTCATATCATGATTTTGTACACTGTTTTTGTTCTTTATTGTGTTACAATGGGTTTTGCCATATCATAATGCATTACGTGAGACTATGCTGTAGTATATTGTGATGTGTTCCACTCTATCACCCTGTATATTGTGTTATGTGCTCTTGTATTCTATTGTACTCTGTAGTTTTCTGTTCTGGCCTTTCTCTTGGGACTTTACTCAGTTGTATAACCTTATACTCTGTTGTATTCTCGTCTATTCTAGTCCAGTCTATTGTAGTGTTTTCTGTTCTTTGCTATTGTTTTTTTTGTTAGTTTTATTCGTTTCCATTCCTTGCTATTCCTTCAAGCAGGCTTTTTCACGGAACGCTGGTCGTGTGTTGCTCTTTTTGGTCGACAATGAAGTGCGCAAAAACAACCGCTTCTCGAATCCCAACAACCTTATCCAAACCTGTATTTAGTTCCGTTCAGAACAGCACCTGAACCATCACTGACCCAACTAGCCTTTCAGACCCCGCCACAATCTCTCAATAAGCCCCTCGGATCAAACAACACAACCTCTTAATAAGCCCTCTTGTTGTCTGCCTCGCAAAGGCCCAACCCTTACTGAGATTTATTGCTTTGGGGGGGCCCCCGAGGGGAGACCCTCCGATGCATCTATGATTTCTGCTGAAGAACCTTGAGATTGCGCTAGTTTTTTCTCCATTTCAAGCACCGCCGACCGTGTAGCCACACAGAAGCCCCGGAGCACCCACCCACCCACCCAACCCCGAGGGCAGGAACCAACAGAGCTTCTCACTTTTCCTTCGCAATGCCTCGCAGCATGCTTTCAGCAACCGCCGCGAGACAAACGGAGTGTATTTCGTGCGCAATCTTGCAAGTCGGGGTGTAGCCACACCTTTGCTGCTGCAAATAAGCTGGCGGCCATGTTCCCAGATTCCAACATCTCTAAGAAGTCTAGAGTATGTAGGTACCAAGGTCCACAGTTCAAGTTGGACAGGTCTACAATTGGCGAGTACGCAGGCATGCAAGTTTTCATGTGATCCAAATCCCAACCAGCCTGCAAGCTCTGGAGTTTGCAAGCTTTCATTCTCCAGCTGCCCAAAATCACCAAGTCTGCCCCCAAGGCTGTGCGGCGGGTTCGTGATAGGTTGCCAGCAGTTGTTTGCCATGGCATGGCAGGTGCATAGAGCTGTCCGACGATGCATGGCGCACTGCAGGCTTGTACTTGAGGTTGAGAAGCTTTGGGCAACAGTGGAATGACGTGTCCCGAGCTTTGATTCTCAGCCCTGCAATCGTGTCGAGCAGGGCTTCCTTCATTGCCGGTAACACCTGTTGCCCGGTCTATGTGCCCAGCACTCATTTCGTCTCGCTGTCGTGTCTTCTAAAACCATGAATGAAGCTCGCATGCACAGTTGATTTATGTCGGTGACGAGCCAGGTTGGGCTTCAGGCAAACATTGGATACGGATGCTGAAGGCCATCGAAGTTCTAGCTGATTCTAGCTGTCACGCGGATCAAGATCAGCTGGGCGGCGTGCATCAAAGAAATGACCAACGCGATGGGCCGTCAACTCTTGTGCAATGGAATGGAAAACCTTTTCAGGATGCATTTTGCACGTTACTCCTCGGGGCACAGAGATCATGATACCTCAATGAGCAGAACAACGTTCGCTGCAGGGAGTTGCATCAGCACTTCTTCAGTGCTCTCAAAGCCTTCGAGGCGGGACACAGCAGACCTGCGCTGTTTTCGGAGGCCGACTAAATGGCTTTCTTCACGTCATGAGAATGGCGTACGAGGGTCTCCACAAGTTCCGCGAGCTCCTGTCCGTGGACACCCAGGCAACATCTCCGCTGTCGTGTGGCAGTTGATCTGCATGTAGCGGGCTCGTCGAGCATCGCCTACATGCAGCCGGTCTTTGGTCTCAGAGCAATTATTCCAAATTGTCGTCTTTCGAGCAGATTCGAAGTCATGGTAAAACTTTCTCGGGCAGCGGATCTAACCCCACTTTAACACCCTAGTACGTGGCAGTGAGAATAGCGGATCGGGGCAGGCACGAGCCTGTCAGCTTTTAGCACGCGAGCCAGGTGCTTCAGTGAAAGAAAGCCCGACAACTTGCTGAAAAAGCAGCATGGAGACTTCAATTCACAGCTTGGAGACAAACAGCCCAGATCACAGTTTCTGTCCAAGTCGCGCTGCAGCGAGCAGCACAAAAGAGCCATGACGGTTCAATCCTCGTGACAGACAAGTCGTTGTATTGTTGCACAAATGAGTACGACCCTATCAACAGGAGCATTTTCATGAGCACGGTTCAGTGCACGGATGGCTCTTCCATGATTATGCAAGTGTACATGAATTCATGTCTTCACCCAATTCCCGCATGGCCTGAACACCAGGCCGGTGTTAGCTTCCCGAACCTACATACAATGCAAGGTCTTCACGACAGTGTCCGTTTCGGGACGCTTGCTGGATGGAAAAGTTGCCTAGAGTCTAGAGTCGCAAGAAAGCAGGCGCACCATGGTGAATACAAAACTGTTGTTGCAGCAGCTTTTACGGCTCCGTTGCCACAGCCCTATCACTTAGCAGCTTTGCCAGCATGGAAGGGTGTTCTTTAGCAAGGTCAGCTAGCACAGCGCCAAGTTCTGACCCGATTCTTGACCTCAAGCAACCAACCCGCAGCCAAAACTGCAGAGTTCTACCTTGGAAGACACCGCAATGGCTGAAAAAGAGAAGAAGGACAAGAAAGAGAAGAAGGAAAAGGATCCAAAGGACAAGAAGGAGAAAAAGGAGGAGAAAGATGACAAAAAAGATAAGAAGGAGAAGAAGGCAAGGGTGGAGCCTGTGAGCGGTTGCATAGCAGACTGTTGTTGGAGTCGAGGAGAAGCGACGAGATGAAGGTGGTCTAGACTTGTGGGCATCCACAGTGGACAACACGGGCACCTTCGCCGGAGCCAATTATGGCGGCCCCAAGGCCGCCAGCAAATGCAAGCAAGTGCAAGCGGGCATTGAAGCGGCCCGTGAGGCGCCACAAGACAAGCGCGAAAAGGAGATAGCGAAGGAGAAGGAGATCAAGAAGGTGTCGCCGTGCTTTGTATACACAGACTCGCAGAGCAGAGAAGTTCAAACAGTTAGTTCCTTTGCTCTAGAGGACCCATCGAAGAGCAGATAGCCAGATAATCAGGCAGAATCGAAACGTGCAGGAGGAGACAGAGATAGATAGACAGCCAGGCAGGCAGACAGGGACGACAGAGTCAGACGGACAGAGACAGCTACATTTCACGCTCCGCAGGTGTCCATTTTTGTAGCTATAGTTTCAGTGGAGTATGTTTCTGTGCAGACAGGTTTCTGTGACTTTGAAATCGGTAGAGACCTGTGGAGCTGCTTGCTTTCGTGTTCTCCGTCGAGGATGCAGAGACGAAGAGCTTGATCGGAGTGAGCGACGTGATCTCTGCAACACTCAAGAAGCAGCACGAGGCCTCTAGACTCGACACCATGTCAGCACCGCAAGAAGTTGATGCAGCGGGTTGCAGGCCAAGAAAGAGGAAGCCAGGCATCGGCATTTTGATGACTTGTGCACACTTGTGCAAACCATGTTTCAACTATTTCATGTACCATCTTAGGAAGGAAGCCGAAAAACGGAACAAGGCAATAAAGGCAGCTCGAAAAGTTCGACGCTCAGAACATCTCTTGGCTTTGTCAGCTCAAGTCTCCTTTTTTGAGGAGCAAGAGACCAAAGATGAAGCAGACGACACGTACCAAATTATGGTCCCCTTGGCTTGCTTTGAACCCTTCGGAGAATCTGCGCGCTGCTAAGCTGCAGAGAGGACAAGAGTGGCCTTGGAAATTTCATGGCGCCGTGCCCAGCCTGTTCGCACTCGCAAAGTGCCTGCACTGTCGTATCGTCGGTCCCAGGAAAAGACGGAAGTTATGGACATCATGAAGAACACGGTTAAAACAGCTGTTTCGCAATCGGGGTCACGATGCCAGTAATGTCCCCAGCCCTCAGCGATTCCATCACCTCTCGCATAAGACCTGTCATGTTGGCTGAGGGTGTCAACGAGAACCTTCATGGACGAGAAGCTCTACACCAATGCACAAGCCAAATTCGAGTCACTGGGTGATCTGAAGGCTTGACAAACTGCGAGTTTCGAGAAAGTTTCGAGTTCTTGGGTTGCCTTCTGCAGGCTGTCAAAGGCTTCATCTTCATCCGTGGTCCCAAGGAGGCATGGCTTCTCATGGCTTCCCAGGTATCGAATTAAATGTCGCCCCAGAGGAGCCAGGAGTCAAGCTGACTCTGCTTCGACCTGCGACCGTGTACGTGGCATTGAGCAAGGCTCCAAACGAGGCTTGTGCCCTGCAGCTGCATGCTGGAAGCAGTTTCGCTGCAAACCGTACAAGACAGGCATCACATGGTAACCACTGCCGCCTGAGCTTTGGATTCTGCGCACGGGGTTGGGACTGTGCTCATCGAACGTCGTGCCGCACCCGTCGAATCAACCTTGTGCCCAGTTCATCGCATGTAGTTCACTTTTTTCCAGATTCGTGCATGAGCTTCAGACATCTTCAGACACCGTCTTAAGCTTTAAGCGCTTCAAACTTCAAGCTACAGGCCCAGAGCCTTCAGCGCTCATCTAAATCTGAAGAGCGGATTGCTGTGGACTTGGCGGCGAGTGCTCGCATGGCTTGAGTGACCGTGCAGGATGACCCATTTCTGAGGACCTGGCAGGCCAGAAGTAGAGCGTGTTGCAGAAGGTTGCTACTCTGCTCGAATAATCATTGTCCATGTTGCTGCATCAAGGTGTTGGGTTCGGACTTCAATCTGCCCTTTGGCTGAAGCTGCAGTTTGCAATTGTTAATCGTAGCCGTTACGCTTGAGCTGATCGAGGCCTGAGTTCTCCGAAGATATCGCGCCTATACACGAGGTCAAGAAGAAGGCTTGCAATGCAGATATCGAGCGCTGATGACCATAAAGCGCGATTTTGCAGTCGCAGGTCTACCGTGACCCAGACAATAGAAACATTGAAGTTCCGAAGCCGCCTTCTGGGCTGGAAACTTGCTTGGTTTTTGCTGGAGACCAAGCTTATTTTGAGATTAGCACCGGCTATGAGACTGATGAACGCTGGCAACTTGTTTAATAGAGGTCATTCCAGACTTTCATGCAGAGATGTTTGGAGAGGCCAGATGCTTCTCCCTAAAAACTTGCGTGCTGGAAATCATGTGTGGCAGGAGAAGTTGTCAGAAGAGGAACTTCAAGAGAAGCCACTCCCCAAGACCACAGCAGGGGCATGGCTCACTCAGAAAAAAGTCATCTGTCTTGCTCGTTCCGAGGGAGCGAGCAGAAGCTGCAGCCAGGTCGAGCCTTTCACTCTTGGTCCCGTTGTTGATCCCCAACACAGGAGTGGAGTTCTTGACTCAGGCGGGCTGGAAGATCTACCGCATCCAGTTCAGCCAAGGACAGGTTGCAGCTGTTGAATCAAACAACAAACGACGCTTCCTCCGACCACAAAACAGCTCATGTAACCTGCCGAATGTGGCGTGGCCAAGACTTAAGAAGTGTGCGAGCTCACTGGCGAGCTCCTCCTTCAACACCTTTTCAATAGCCTTCCCTCTGTCCGCCACACAACCAAAATCGTCGTTCTTGAATATCTATGCAATACTTTCACGGGCCCCGCCCACCCAAGAAGTTACTGTCCCGGTTGCGCACATGCTGGCCATTCGCACGTGTGTCAGATAAGCGGGTCGCTCGAACATTCGCACCTCTGCAATGGCAGAATCGGTGCAGAATTGCCGGATATTGCCGGTGTATCCGGGTCTGAGGCCGAACGGCAGGATCTGCGTTCTCATCTTTCGGGTGACCGCTACTGTAGTCGGAGCCGACAATTCAAGCAGACCAGCCTTAAATTTCTCTGGGATGCAGGGTTGCATGGCGAGAATTGCTGATCAATGACATCGCATCCAGCGTCTGCCATCGCAAGAAGTTTGCGCACATGACTTTACCCTTGAATTCTTGCATTGACAAACCATGTGGGGCAGCCGGAAAAGGAAAGCCCGATTACAGTCTATGGACACAGCGCAGCCCACCCTTTGCCAGCATTGATGAAGGTAGAGCTTGGAATCGCAGGAAAGAGAGTCATTTGTGCAACTTCTCATTTAGCACACAAGCCTGCAACGGCACATGCTGCCGCTCCCCCAGTGCGACTGATGAACTTCGCAAAACGACGCCAGATCGTTGCAAGGCTCATCCGTAGATATGCTATAAAAGTATGATGTAGTTGGATCGTACTGACGGGAAACCCTAAGCCGCTCCAGACCGCACGTTCCCAGCTCCCCCGTGACATGCAGCACCACGGTTTACCAGCTACAGGTCCAGGTGCGCTCGTCGTGAGGAGAATGCCGAACAACTTAACCGCGCGGAAAGTTGATGAAAGTTGCTTTGGACGACACGTCGCGGCATAGCCGTCATTTAATGGTAATTGTGTCCAGGTCCTAAAATACTTAAATTTGTCCAAAGCACTCTGCCAGTGAACACGAATATTCAGGTAGCATCGATCATGACACCAATGCTGATGGAGTTGTCGCTTTGCATCGAACCGCAGGAAGCACCATCCAAGGCTGATGAAATCGAGGCATCTTCTTACCTGTCCAAGCAACATATGTGGCTTCTGCTGTGAGCCAGGCAATCCTCAAGAAGGTGGAAGCAGGTGAGAAGTTGTCGAACAAGGAGATCATAGCCGCGTTGACAGTGCCCTCCAATACAGTCTCCTCAGCGGCCACATGAAGTGAAGTGTCGTGTGCTTTAGCTTCGCACGAAGGGGACGAAGCAATTCCGAGAGTGATGCATGGGATCTAAATGGATCTAAGCAATGGGCTTGTGCAAAGGAGAAGAGGGCTTACGACAAGCATCAAGAGAAGCCCGGGCCTGCATTTGCATGTCCTTTGTGTTGGTTTGTGACAGAAGCAGTTCAGGAATGTCGTGTACAAGAACGAGGATGATGAACCTGTCGGTGGAATGAATGCCTTTAGCATCATCCTTGAGGCCCGCGGGCCCCGCCTATTCACACAAGTTTTCTGACTTAATCACCATGGCAAAGTGCACGGCATGGTGTAAGGGTGGCAAGAACGAGCCTCCGCCTTCTGGCGATGCTTTCGTCTGCAACAATTTCACGCTCTCGGCGCCGAAACAGACTTTGTTCGACAACGTGGTGGCCCCGGCGTGCAAAACAACGTTGCTTTTTGCTGTCTTTGCATTTTCGAGTCGAGCACCCCAGCCCCCGCAGGCCAGCATCACCATCGTTCAAGGCCACCGCTATGGCATCCTCGGACCGAATGGTCAGGCCAGGTCGAGAGTTCAAGGAAGGTCAGCCTATGTCCAAACTGAGGACTGGCGTGTGTTACCAGAGTTTATGAGAACTGTTGCTGGATCCCCGACGACTGCAGGGAAAGACCACGTTGCTGCGGCACATCGCTGCGCGTGAGATGCATTGGGCTCAAGGTTTGCCAATCACCGGTCGAAGCAATCAGCGTTTGAACTCGAACGTTTGAACCTCTACAAAGGAACGTAGCATGCTTGGCTTGCCAAGGCCCGTGCCGGTCAATTGGGATGTCATTTTGGTGGAACAGGAAGCTAAAGCAACGGAGCGGTCTGCAGTTGAAGAAGTGCTGGCAGCGGACGTCAGGTGGGTCTACTTTTGACATTAAAGCCGCTTTGTTATTGTCATCGCATGCGTGACTGTGTGTGATAGGGCGGCGGAGCTGATCAAGTTAGAAGAAGAGCTGCTTCAGAAGCTAGAGGATTGTTCGTGACCAACCGATCCTGCATCTCAACTGCGCGAAATTACATTGACAGGACATGGAGACAGCCATGGAGAAGGGAGAGGAGGTCTCCGCAGATGAAGTGGAAAGGACTGAACACCCACGAAGCTCTGCTTGGACACCCGAGGGGGTGACATGGGCTGAGCCCTTTCAGGATGCGCTCCGAGCTCGAGAACGCCTCTGCTGAGCTTGAGGCCAGAAACGTGTTTTTGTTGAGGCCAGAAACGTGTTTTATTCGTCAAGTTGTGTCGGAGGGTTGCATCGTGCTCGTGCGACTGTTCTCCTTGCTGGTCATTTTTTCGCACTCCCCACAGCCATGACATGATGGTCTTCGTCGACTGGGATACGTGCTCGTATCTGGAAAATCGAGGTCTTGGGACCTTCGTTGAACGAATCCATCTTCGGAGCCAGGATACTCCCAAAAGAACCTGACAAGCTTGTCAACAACTGCCAGATTGTCCCGAATTGTCTGGTCAAGCGTTGAGGGCCAGAGCACTCAGCCGAGCTAGTACTTCAAATATTCAGCCTCCCTTAACGAGCCCTAAGCCCTTAGGCCCCAAGACTCTTGAGTCGTCCCAGGCCATCGGTGCAGATTCTGCAGAAGCTAGAGCAACTCAGACTGCACTGGAGCCTGCGAGCCTGTGCTGACTGTACACGTTAGGTTTCCTTTCTTGCTGGAAGTGCTGAGGTTCGAAAGATTTTGTGTGGCAGTGGCCTCAGAACTGCCGCGAACAGCGACCCGCTGACCAATGACGACTTCACAATTTACTTGGGCAGTGCGTTTCGCCGGCATTACTGTGAGCATGTTCTGCTAAGGCTTGGGGTTCACAAACGGCCATCCAGATGAAGACCGGTTTTCAATGGACAGGCCGTTGACTTTTCTTCTCAGTTTGTTGGTCTGCGGTTTGTTCCTGCAGTGTATTTGGAGTCTCGAGGAAGGCCTTTTCGATCCACAACTTACCCCCCTTGAAGTTGCCAAGGTTGACGGCAAAGTTATCACTCCCCTCAAGGTTCCTTGAATCAGCATGAAACAGTGACTTAGCATCGCGGCTATAGATGTCCATGCGAAATCTTGAGGTGCATGTTTGCTGATCCACTCATTCATGTACTGACATGCGGTAGGAAAGCGCTTTGTGATGATTGTGTAACCCATAGACTTCACGAGCCTGGCAGGCCTGTGGTGCAGTTTTCGGGAGGATGGCGAATGAGAATCAGTTTAGCGAAGGCGCCGAGATCAGGAGCACCTCGAGACAAAGTGATTGCAAAACGCACACAAACACCCACACCCACACCCACACCCACACGCACACATGCACGGTCGTGAGTGAGAGCTCGCATCATGGCTCCCACAAAGGATGCGAAGGGCCTGCCCTTGGCGTACTGTTTTGTGCCCTTGGGTAAGATGTAGGTAGTGGGGATCCGACCCCATTCTCTTACACGTAGGGCCCATGTGTACTGTGGTAGTAGTTTTTTGATGTTGTTGTAGGTGTTGAGGTGATGTGTGAGTGGTGGTGTGTCGAGTTTGTGGTATACGGCTTCATGCAAGACGGTGGTGCTGATCGCTCCGAAATATGATGTGGGGCAACACCACATCAATCTGTTGGGAAAGTCGTCCTCGCAAAGTATGACCCCTGTTGGGATGCAGCGTGCAGCGTTCTTAATGATGTGAACTGAGGGTGTGCTGTTGGTGTTGATGGTGAAGGGTCATCCGTTGTGCACAGTCTTGTGTTGTGTCATTGTCCTCAGGTGCTGGAAGTCGATGTTGCTTGTGCCATCGATTGATGGCGTGGAGAAGGCTCTGTTGTTTGTCGGGGGGAAGAAAGTGCTTCTGCCGGAGTATTGAAGAAGATGCTGATCGGGTGCTATCACGTTAAGAGGTAATAGGACATGGTCGTGATACACATGTGCCAGATTCTGCAGGTTGGCAGGTGCACTGTGGTGGATGGTCGGGTTGCCACGTGCGGTGTGCTTTGCGCCAGTTGTGTAATTGGTCTAGTTTTTGAACTCGGGGGTGTCTGGCGAAAACCACAGTTGTGGTACGGGGGTGGAAAGGCAAAGTGGAGTCGCGGTGGGTTGTGATGCGACTGCGTAAATGCTCACGTGTGTCTAAAAGCTGTGTGGGGTGGGAAAGGAATGGGATGGAGAGTGGTGATCTGGATTTTGGCGTAGGTGGTTGGCGTTTGCGCATTGCTGTAGCGATTGCTTTGCTGGCTGGAATGTGGTGTGGTGGTGGCAAGTTGTGGGAAAGCTTGCGTAGTGCGTATAACTGTGCAGAAGGTGTGCGGAGGCGGAGGGGTTCGCAGGTGTCGTCAAAGCGGCCTTGTGTGTTGGATGATGCCAGGTCGCACACTGTGCGCCAGACTTGCGGATGAATTCCACGGACCTTCAAAGTTTAGCTGCCAGTCGCCTCCTACGAGTGTTTGCCGGCGCCCGCTAGCCCCGTTGCTTTCCAGTCTGGAGCGGTTTTTCCACAGTGACACCCTAATTATGGCTGGCTATGGTGCTCTCGATGCTCAAGCCCTGCCTGCACAACTACCATTCGGCAGACTCACCGACAAGTGACTATCGACTTTGCAAGGCAACCTTGACCGCTACCGTGTTGTCACGTTCTGCACTACATGAAGATTTCGTGGAGTCGTTCTCTGTTTCGGCGCTTGTCTCTCAAGGCGCTGTTCCTGCAGCCAAAGCTGCTGATGCTAGACGAGCCAACAAATCACTTGGATTTGGATGCAGTGCGAACCTCAGTTGCTATACCTTCCTGCTGCATGAGAAGTCGACTTTGATAACCTGTACAGGCGAGCTTGCATCTCTGCTTCTTCATTGAGCGGTTCCGCGTCTGCATCGCTGCTGCTCCGAGGTTTTGTGGCTGGACACCTACCTGTCCGAGCACTATCCCCACTCTGTGGTCGTTGTGTCGCACGATGCCGACTTCCTCGATAGCATTTGTAACTTTGCTGACACTGATTTTGGTGAGCGGGCAGGAGGGGAGGGGACGGAGGATCGAGGATCGAGAACTGTTCGGTGCATGCATGTGAACCTTGGAAGCAGAGCGGACAATGAACGCGCAAGTGTGTGTGTGTGTGTCATGTGTTCAGGAAGAACGACTTAGATAAGCGGCTGGCAACAATCACTGGCTCGTGGCAAATACTTATTTACACTTTGTCGTACGCATTTGAATAGTCGTCGTGTCAGTGTTGTCAGCGTGGTCAGCGGTTGGTAGACTTGCGACTACGTAATACCAGCCATCCTGACAGTGTCGTCATTTTGATGGCCAGACATTTCCGTTTCCCACTGTTGAATGTGGTTGACAATAGTACCATGATTATGACAGCCGGGGCAGTCCAGTCTGCAAGACATTGGTCATCCGTTGATGTCCTACGTAGCCTACACAATAAAGATCGTTCGGTAGAAAGCACGATGATTGCGTTTCTGACGTTGATGGGGTAAGTCTTGCACCTTCTTAAATCAGAAAGGAAGGCGAGGGCAGGTACTGTGGGCCTTTGTTAAAAATGACAGCAGGTCTGGCGCCATTATAAGAAGGTGTGGTATTTGCTCATGCGTCGTTCCCTCATTTAATTTAGTAAGCAAGTGGCACAAGTTCTCTTCCATCATCCGCGCTGGCAGCATCTGTCCTGTTGACATACCTGTCAATGATCTTGTGCATCGGAACAACAAAACGAGATCCCTTGTCCTCAGCTCTTTACGGTCCCTCGGGTGCTCGCTTGAAGGCTCTTGGAGTGCTTTTGGAGTGGCCAGTCGCCTCCTTGAAGGGGTCTCGAAATCCCACCGTTCTTACTGGGTCTTGCACTTTGGCAAAAATCGAAATCGTGCTCGTGCCACAGTGCCGCGGAGGAGCATTGGTATAGCTGGAAGGACATGTTATGCGCGGAGTGGATGTTGAAAGCCCCCTGACTTGTGACGACATAAGAATTTCATGTTTGTTTATTGTGGCTGTCGCCAAAATTGGCTTGTTTTTGCTCGCAGGAAAGCATGGTGTGGTCCCACCCTACCGACAAACGGTTTCTGATTCGGGCCAGATCCGAGCTTGGGTTTCAGCCACTGGGAAAAATCCGCGTGCGCTGTGCTTCTGTGGTAACCTCTCCCTGGCCCCGGAGGTTACTTGTACCGGACAAGCACCCTTCAGACAAACTCTTGCGACATGCGCCAAAGCCTCCGCCGAATGAGAACGTGAGCTGCTACAAGACATAAAGAGACTCCACACGGCGGCACTGCGGCACGGCAGCCGTGGCCTCAACGTCGAGTCAGCCCAAGCCCTCCAGCTCAGATTTTTTCCGGAGATAATTCGACACACCAGTGGCGCGCGCGTAGTCGCGAGAGTTTTGCTTGTCCATAACATCAAACACGGGCTGCTGCCAGACAATGACGGAGATTGTAACTTTGTTTTGCGTTCATGTAGTATTCACAGTGTTCTGTTTGTTGAACTTGGACATGTGAAGGCTCTAGCCATATCGTCGGCAGAAACCAGGGTCGGATGCAATATTCGCCTCGAGCAGCACAGCCCTGCTTGTAAAGTCCAAGATGTAAACACATTTGCCACACCATGGCTCTTGGAAGCTCCATAAGTGCGCCAGTGGAAGTGCTATGTACTGTACGGTATATGTCAGCCGAAGCTTGTTCAACTGGAGGGTTGGCTCATGTATGCTTGCGACATCCCGAACATGCTGCGCGCCATTGGACACCTTGGAATGGTTTGAACACATGACCACAATGCTGCTTTTCTTCTGGATAGCAGGTGGTCTCAAGTTTCATGTGGTGACATACTGAGCCAACCTCTTCGATTTGAAGCAAGACCGTCGACAGCTCTTGTCTGAAGTTCACTTCGACATACTCCTATGTCGGAAACCATCGGAGGTGTTTCGGATGACAGCGAGTTTTCGCTGTTCGCTATCCATCGCTCGGCAGGGCTAACATGTTGCGCATGTCTGTTTGATCTGCGATAGATTTGACTTGAAATGGCTAGGAGAACCTGCCAATACCCGTGGCCAGGATAAAGTATCGTACCGGTGGTCGTTTCCACGGATGGCAGTGGGTTAGGCTAAGACGCTGGTTCACCTGAATCGCAAGCCTTGTATTGATTGCAAAAGACACTCGCGGTCAGTTAGCCTTGGCATGCCTTGGCAAAGCGCCACCTGGAGAAGTGTGCGTCAGGGTGGGTTGGTGTTCCGTGTGGCTTGACCGCCTGCCTGAACTTAAGCCTTTCCCTTCTAGTGGTGTAGCTGGTTGGCTTTGTTGAAGCAGCGTCTCTGCGAACAATACAAGCGTTTCGAGACCGCAGCACTTCAAAGCGTCCTTCTTGTCGGCTGTCAAGAAGTGGCTGCCCAGCATCGTGCACTCGATGCCTACCGAGCTGGTGTCATCAGTAGAAGTTGACGGGATAGTTACTGCGACCGGGCTTGCTGCCTGCTGATTTGCGGAATACCCCTGGTGTTTTCGTGTCTGCCAACCCTGCCACCTTGAATGTGCTGATTGTAGCAATCCGTCTCCATTGGGCCAGGACAGGTAAGGAAACGTTTCCTCCATGTGAAAATCGGTACAGCATGTGTCTTTAGCCCGAATGGCCTGCCCGATGATCCAGGTACAGACATCTTGCATTTGGAGGAGCCGTGGCCGTCACACAAAGCGCAGCGGAATCGCAGCAGTAGCCCTGTCGAATCGACGAATGAAGGACAGAAAGCTGGTGCACTACCGGGGCGATTACACAGCTTTCAAGAAGATGCACCTGCAGAAGCGGGCGACGTTGGACAAAGAGTATAAGAAGCAGCAGGAGTGCGGGAAGTGTTTTGCGGAGACCGAAGTGGCGACTTTCTGCTGGGATTTCGCCGGCAATGAGCTTGCGCTCCATCAGCGATGTTCGACCATTTGCAGGGGAACGAAAGGTATATATTTGGATCTCACCGGTTGCAACATACTGGTGGCAGAGAAGTCTCTCTACTCAGTAGTTGTGTAAGTTTCTCCTTCCGGCGCCTGTCTTAGTTTGCTGTTGGGAAAGAGGTGGCAGGTGCGAAGGCTTGGCGGCCACACAATCAGTAGTTCTTGTCAGATCGCCGAACTGATGCACGCCAAAAGGCATAAGTCGGTGGTGATTGGGTTCTGCACAAGCTGGGGGGCATAAAAGAACACGGCAGAAGCACCCAAACCATGGAATCTGAGAATTATCGATCTCACATGTAGGCCGTGGACCAAACATAGACGACTGGGCAAGCGTGTGTGTGTGTGTGTGTATGTTTGTATGTGCATGTGTATGTGTATATGTATGCGTGTATGTATACGTACAGGTGTCCATATACATATACATATGTGCATGGGTATAGGTATAGGTCCGTGTCATACCCTACCCACTCCTTTTGACTGCTGGGCGGCAGTATCTTCCTTCCCCTCTCGCTGGCGCAAGGACGAGCTCAAGGCTTTGAAGAAGAAAGGCAAGACAAAGGCCACACAATGAAAAGTGCCAGTAACTGTTGCAGTCATCTCCTCGCCAGGATGAGGCTGAAGCTCTTGTGAAGAACAAGTTCGGAATTGATGCCCTCGATGGACTCATGGAAAAGCACAAGGATTACGTTGTGAAATTCAAGTTTGAGGGCCATGGAATGGACAGATCACTGGGACTCAATGTTTCAGAAGTGGCTTTCAGCTACAACGGGAAGGAGCCATGGCTGCTTGAAGAAGTAGAAATCGGCGTGGATTGTGGATCGCGCATTGCAATCGTTGGCCCGAATGGAGCTGGAAAGTCTACGCTCCTTAACCTGATGATGCAACACCTTGAGCCCTGCGCTGGCGATGTTGCAGTATCCAAGGGGATTCGTATCCGTCAGTACCACCAGCACTTTGAAGAGCTTTTGCCATTAGATAAGACTGGTATCGAGTACCTTACGGACGAGTTTAATCTTGGCCCACCGGAGAAAGCCCGAGCTGTGCTAGGACAGTTTGGGCTGCCAGGAAGCTCCCACTTCACAAAGATTGGAAATTTGTCTGGAGGCCAGAAAGCTCGTGTAGCTTTTGCTGCGCTGATGCTGATGAAGCCTCACATCATTATCTTGGATGAGCCGACGAACCATCTGGACATTGAATCTGTTGAAGCATTAACGACAGCTATCGCCAACTTCAATGGTGGCCTGGTGTTGGTGAGCCATGATGCCAGGCTCATCACGGAAGTTGACTGTGAGCTGTGGGTCTGTGAGGATGGCGGTTGCTATCGATTCGAAAAGGACTTTGATGGATACAGGGACAAGGTCCTGCACCAGCTGGAAGAACGGCAAGCTGAAGTGGAGCGGATGGAACAGAAACGTCGCGAAGAACGAGCGAAGAAGCGTGCGAAGCACGTCTCAGAAGAGCAGCTCAGAGCCGCCAAAGACCGCAAGCAGGCGGCACAGGCGAAATCCGACTCCAAGGACCTAGCTTCACATCTGCAGTTGTTCGTTTGAAGATGTTCTGTGCGTGTTTTGTATCGGGCCCACATCCGAACCACAGAACAGAGACGACTTCCTTCAGCAATGGCATTGAAAAGGCAGCGTTTTGCAAAGCGCAATTCGTGCGTATCCAGGCCCACCGTAGAGGCTGCAAGCAGGAGACATGTGCAAAGCTGCTCGATATAGGCTGCTGCTTGTTGATGCATCTCGCGTTGCGGTCTGGCATACTCTACGTGGCGAAGCTGCGGTGTGCTGTTGCGGGCGTGCGCGCAGGTGTGTTTGTGTGTGTGTGTGAGCCCTGACCATACGCCAAGGGTTCTGTAAAACTTCTTACCATCAGTTCTGTGAGCCACAACACCTCTTTCATCCATCAGTTTTAAGAGCAAGGGGGAACGGTCCATGTCTCTGCGTTGCCCAACGAAACTATGAGAGATGTGGTTGATGAGAAGGCTGATCACCTTCTTGTAGTTGCTGATATGAAAGATGGCAACCAGGCCAAGCCGAAAACCTGGCACGCCGAGAATACAGGTATCAGTTCACACATTCAAGTTGAAGATCCACTAAGGTAGATGATATTGACAACTTAGGCGAAAGCCGATGGATAAAGCTGGATATGGCCACGTCTCCGTGTGATGGTCTTGTTGCCAGTCAGCGAAAGCTCCGACGTGGAGCACGCCTTCTTCCGAAATGCGGAACATTGAAGTAACCGGTCTAGCTATGCTTATCGAGCAACATCCCGCACCGAAGTCAGGCCGACACTCTCTTTCTCCCAGGCACCGCCACAGGTGTGTGTGTGAAGACACAAATTTAGAATTGTAGAACAAGGGTTAAGGTCCGAGTGCATCTCATTGTCCGGCAGAGTGCTGTGTTTGGCTGCAAGCTTGTGTCGTCGAGAGTGGTAGCACTCACTAACAACATGGCAGCCTGAGATTCGGAAATCATTGTGACCGGTGTGGATGTGACTGCCACTGCCGTGCATCCTTCTCCTCTCAGCGACCCGACGATTTGATGGCCAGGAGATTCTTTTCGATGCTCCGGAGGGCAGGGACGTTCAGGTGTTCCTGGAATCTCATCGAACGCCCACCACTCCAGTCTCCAGCTCGTAAGACGCAGAAGTTCCTGAGATCAGTCAATTCGTTTCAGCCACCGAGATTCAGGAAGATCGACCCAAGAAGAAGCGCCATCAGCGCAGAGTTCCTCCTACTATTAAGGCACCAGGATCCATCTGCCGACAAGCAAGGGACAAGAACTCCGGACCATCCAGCATTGACAGGATGGAAACTGGCGGTGCATTAGATGCCGTGCTTGCTCAGGATTCAGCGCAGGATCAGGATGACTTCGGCACCCACAGCTTGTGTTCGGAAGCGGCTAGCTCAGCTTATCCTGCAGTGAAGACCAGGTTCATTTCCGGTTAGCGCAGGTTATGGATCACCAAAACCTCAGGTTCCGGCAGACGTGGTCATGAAGACAACGGAACCGCCAATTCCGCCAAGGCTTGCATCTGATCCCAGGTTGTTTCAGAGTGATCAGCATCTGGAGACAGAAATCGAGCGTGATGCAATCGGAGGTGCAACGTCTGTTAAGCTTGTCAGCTGGTCCGACAGAGGAACGCCCGATTCCTAGGTCGCGTTCATCACGAAGCCAAAGTCAAAGAGCCTCTAATCATGGAGTGGACGTTCCTGGCGAATGTTGTGCAAGCATACACCGGCAACAAAGAAACTCTGTTTTCGCACGTTGTATGTATGGAATCGAAGCAGCATGTGCTTTAGATTCACTATCATCGCGAGCCTTTCAGTGCTGAAGCCGACGACCCAGCAGTGCATCGGTACACTCTGATTTTCGCTCATGGTACTGAAACGGCAGGTGCTGAGGTGCGGTTGGACATTACTGCCAGGCTACCAGCTTGCCAGATGCACAGAAGAGTTTGCAGCAGATTTTTGACCGAGTTGTTCAATCCGGCAAGTGGCAGTGTCCAGTCATGCTTGATGGTTTCGTCATGACACCAGCAGCCCATTGTGTCCTGGAATCTGGAGGGGGCATGATTCTTCATGCGGTTGTGCATTACAAACGTGACAAGAAGTGGCTTCTGCATTCAGATCTTACCACCGTCACCAGCTTTGTGATTGCATTCAAGAAGCAGCTTCAAGGGATAATCTCGGCAGGCCGATCTTTCAAATCGGTCCCGCGCATGCAGCATCAATCAAAAAGCAGCTTCGACGATTGCTGAAAGCGAGACAGGCATCTCTTGTCACCTGATATGCGATCGACTGAGAGCCGCCGTCACTTCTTGCCAAAATCGCTAAGGTCCGACTGTTGCTTCCAAGGTCAGCCTACGGTCACATGTCACAACATGTTGCCAATGACATTGTCATCTTTGATTCCTGTCAGGTTTTGATCAAGGACCGCGATTGTCAAATTAGCAAAGGATCCGTAGCATGGCTCGTCCAGGTCGCAGAGATGAACTCATGTCTCGAAGCCGGGGTCGCACCAGGAACCACAGAGGTCGCAGCAGATCCAGACCAACACAACGAAGACAGGATTCGTTGGAACTACCCAGGTCATGGAAATCCAGCCCGACAGAGTACGACAGCAACCGGGAATACGGACTCAATCTGCCTCGTCAGGTGATTGATTACGAACACATGTACTCGAGACCTGCAGATCGATGGAATGGATATTTTCGATGTACGTCTTGCTCCGGTCATGACCGGTGGACTTAACAATTGGGGGCTTCGTCCGTTAGCCAATGGCAGACATACAGTGTGGGAGTCTTTCAACTTGCGACAGGAAGCTATAACCGCAGGTACATTGATGCGTTCTTTGCGAGGTGAGAATTTAGCCCAAAACACAGAGGCAGACCTCAATGCACCTACATGACTAAGAACATGTTTCTAGGACTGCTGCACATGATCTTCGCACCGAGGTTCGGACTCTCATTCGGGACATCATTCGGTCTGAGAAGTGCAGTTTTCCACCATTGCACCTGCCCTCCGATAAACTTGTTCTCAGGAAAGGCCAGCCGTTGGCTCAGCAGGTGTTCAATTACAGATCCTTCATGAAGAGCCGGAGCCGCCATGCCAGTGTGCAGTGTATTTGTGACAAGCTTCAATCAGGATGCAAAGCCCCAGCCTCACTTCAGGACATTTGATGTGTGCTGCAGCTGATGTCATTCCAAAGTCATGCCTAGCCACGGCGAACCTCGTGGATATTACTTACTTCTCCAAAGGTAAATGGAAAGCTACCACGCTTGAGGCGCTGCAGGACTGGTGTAAACAGTGGAAGCTTTACAGCTACTCGAAGTGCGCTGGCAGATCTGGGATATTCTCAACAGGAGGCTTCGGTTTTCAGACGGACCCATTCGATGCCGCCATCAATGCCAACGGGGTGCCAACAGGAGCTGCTACCACAATAATTGGTACGGACCGCACAAGCGCTTTCTACATGATGAAGATGGCTATGAACACCTGTAGGAACTCTCGGACAGGTCGACTGCTTTGCGCATGCGAACAAAACCCACAAGTTGCGCCTCGTGTTGAGATCAAAGGTGTTTGGCAAACTTCCTACCATCAGTTCTGTGAACCACAATGCCGCTTTCATCCATCAGTTTAAGAGCAGGGGGGCAACGGCCCATGTCTTTGCGTTGCCCAACGAAACTATGAGAGGTGGATGACAAGGCTGATCACCTTCTTGTACTTGCATAGATGAAAGATGGCAACCAGGCCAAGCAGAAAAGTTGGCGCGCCGAAAGTACAGGTATCAGTTTACACGCTCAGGTTGAAGATCCACTAAGGTAGATGATACTGGCAAGTTAGGCGAAAGCCGATGGAAAAAACTAGATATGGCCACTTCTCCGTGTGTTGTGTGTGTTCGCGCTCACACATGCAGCCTTGAAGTTACTTCGTTCAAGCGTTTGCGCGGGATCTGCTGCCACAGCGCTGGACAAGACACGGCAAGACTGTGTCGTGCATAGATGTTGCATAGACGACAAAATGCCAGCTTTCGGGATTCGCCGACTTCGAGATCAGTTTCTAGGTCTAGCACACAGTTTTAGTTTGCGCACACGCTATCGCAATTTCGAAGAGCAACGGCTCCTGCTCACGTGCCGTTTCTGCAACCTGAGGCTCATAAAGCAACAGATGCAACAGCTTGAGCTTCCGAAGCTTAAGCGCTCAATCGCGACTCCACCGTGACTGCGTCCTAGTCGGAGCCTGACGCAGCTTGTGGCAAGGGGCTAGGTAAGGTTGAGAGGTTCAGGGCTCCAGAAGTCCACGGGATGCGAGCAAAGGAGGCATAAAGGCATATACAAATTCCACAACGAACTATCTTGAAGTATCTACTTTGCTGACTTTGCTGCACATTGCATCGACCATACTGTAAGGAAGGTGGCCGGTGTTATTGGCCGCAGGACCAGATTCTAGACAGCCTGTCCCGTGAGGATGCCAAGAAAGAAGCGGATTGACCGAGAACGGTGTAGCTCGCCATTACCACGGTTGCATCGATTTTCCAACGTCGAGTTTCACTGTGTGTGCAGGTCGGGAGTGCAATCGGGTGCCCCTGTACAAAAGCCTCGCTGGCATGCTCGCTGTTCGTTTTCATTTGGGGACGATATGTTCAGATCCTGAGTGTTTTATGCTGTCATGTGGGGCAGTCGTTTGCTGCTGGGCCAGCTGGGCTCAAGCTTAGCTTCCGACAAACCCTCAGTTCTGACAGACATTATGGGTCGTAGGTCACCCAGTGCCGCTCCCCAATGCAGCTAGTGCCACGTGTAGTCAAGTCCCAGATCAGCAGTTGCCAGGCTCGCGTCCCGCCAAGCCCCATCCGCAAAACTAAAGAATCTGTTCTAAGTCTATGAGACGCTGTGCAATGCTCCTTTGACCCGGCCTTCCATTAGAGAGGCGTGGTCAGGGCGTCCTGTCATGAATGCAGGTTCAAGCCCAAGCCCTTAGCTCACGACTCTTCGGGCAGAGTTGCAGGGTGTCGCCGGGTCAGGGCACCGCCTACAGACGCATGCATTGGGGTGTATTAAGCCAGTCGTCCCTTCCACAGGGTTTGCAAAGCGAGTGAAGGAGACAGGCTGACGACAAAACGAATTTGCGGCGTCCGTGCGACGCCGAGAAAATCAAATTGGACCTCCGGGCAGTGTAGTGTAGAGTGCCCGTACTGTCGACGTTCACTGAAGCATTGGTCTTCGTGGATGAGTTGTTGTTTGCACACTGCAGACCGAACAACGACGTCATGAAAAGGCACTAGGCCACCAAGATAGTGATAGGGTTCGGAGCATGCAATAGTGTACCGTCACATGTCCGAATCATGGACAAGCGTGTGTGCGACTGATTCCACGCAGTGGGCCACGGGTGCCATCCACGCACCATTGCAACAAAACGGAACTCCATTCTGTGAGATCTGCTAGAGCCGATCGCTTGAAGAGAAAACTTGGCTTCTGTGACTTAGTGTCCTTGCTCCACGTCCTCACCAAACCACTACAAACCTGTAACAAGCATCATCCACGGAAAGGTTGCAGCCATGAGTGGAGGCCACTTGAGCAAGGCCTGGCAGCTGGTGGCCAGAATCAGAGATCAATGCCGGCGTAGTGATCATCCAACCTGTGCATCAGGAGTTTTTCGAGCTGGTGAAGAGCATCGGCGAGTCTAGATCAAAGCAGGAAGAAGACAAGATCATCGTGGGCGAGATTGCTATTCTGAAGCAGCATCTCAGTGCCCCGAACATATCGGCGAAGAAGATGAAGGACTTTGCATACTTCGTTCCTACAGCATAGGAAGACTCCCCAGTGACGTAGTAGCCTGCGATCTCTTTACATTGCTAGGGAGGCAAACAGGCCGATGTAGCTCCTGTATGGATGTTGCAAACATGCCCAGTCGGGAGCTGCGCGTCCTGTATATGCTGTGTGATGCTGTGTGTAGTGTTTTTGTCTGTGGCTCGCCGGCTCCAGGAGTACATGATCCGAGCTGTTTATGCAGAAATGCTCGGTCATGATGCATCGTTCGCATACATCCATGCCGTGAAGCTGACCCACGAGAAGAATCTGTTTGCGAAAAGGACAGATGTCGCATCCTTGGGTTCCATGGTCTGGAGCGTGCTACAAGCCCTTCGCGCGAGACTGACTCTTTCTGTGCCTCTGTCTTTGTCTCATTCTTATGCCAGGATCGGATATTTGACATGCAACCTTTTCCTGCACAGAGATCACGAGCTTATGCTACTGCTGATCAACACAATGCAGCGGGACCTGGGAAGTGCCAACCACATTGAGGTTGGCTCCAGTTGTGTGAAGCTGACCTGTGTGTTGTCTGAAAGTTCGCACTTGAGATTTCGTTTGAAGGTTGCACTTTAGCAGTGGATTCCAGAGTCCTTGTGCAGGTATGCTCTGCCCTGACTTCGGTCTGTCGGCTAGCTCCTGGATGGCAGCCAGTATTGCCCGTGTCTAACTCGGCTTGAAGAAGACTAACACCAGTACAACCCTGCAGGTCAATCTGGAGATGATCCCAGCAATCTCGCCTCTCGTTTTCAAGCTGCTTTCTCACCCTCAGGAGGCCGACTTGAAGCTTTTCTCTGAGCCTGTTGGACTTGTTTCAAGCCTGGCAGGCTGTGCGGAAGAAAGCCGTTGTAGCAGTGCACAAGTTCTTCAAGATCGTACCTGAAGCTGTCCTAGATCAGAAGGACGCGGCGCAGCATTGCCTGCATACGAGCACTGTCTCACAGTAATGCCTCTGCAAAGGACCAGATTCGCAAAGTCTTATGCGATCCAGATCCATCTGTCATGGGAGCATCCCTCCATGTCCTATGTGAGGCCAAGCTTGCTGTGCATCAGCGCAAAGTTGTGTCCTCCACAATAGGTGTTATCTGACCTGGGCTTAAAGCCGCGTCTACAGGGGTCCCAAGACTCGGGCTTTCGCTGTGACTCGTGCTTTCGCTGGAACTGTAGTTTCACATCTGTCCCAGCCCATGGAAATGAGGTGTGCTCCTGGCCTGGGTGCCGACCAACAGTGTTGTTAACACGGACAACAGCAGCAGCCTGTAAATGATGTTAGCAACTGGCCAGTTACAAGCAGTTGGGATTCTGCTGGAGACCCCATAGGGTGCCCGTTGAGTTTTTGTTGGTTGTGAGCCATGGTATGCACAGCAGCTGCCCTCATGATGGAAATGGGGTTCAATGTGGCTGGTTGATGTGAATGGGGGGGGGGGGGGGTGAAAACAACAGACGGGGCTCTAGTGTCCAGCAGGTAGAGACAAAGGCCCCGCATTGTTTTTGGACCTTGTTGCTGTTGCTGCATTCTTGCTGCATCGTGTTGTCTACAGCAACGCCACTCGGCATCGAAGCTCATCGCCTTCTGCCTGAACATGAAGTGGCTGCTGTAGCTAGACTCCTTCTGCCTGACCAATGTCAACGTATAGGGCAAGGACTCCTCAAACTCTGCGGTCGTTAGGGCTCCAAAAAAACACCTTCTGCTCACTGAGATTCGTCTCCCGAGCTTGGCCAAAAACTACAGCCGAGAGCTCATGCAACACTCGGCTGAATTTTCTGGCTCGTGTCCCTTTCCTCTTGCCTGTCGCAGGGGTAGAAGGGGGTTGGAGGACAATGCTACTCATCCGGTGGCTGAAGCGTGAAATCGATGGATGTCGTGCAAGACTGGCTAGACCCATTGGCAAGAAATGCACATGCATGCTAGCCATTGGTCGATCAACCTGCAGGTTGCGAAAGCGCATCCGGCTTCATGCAAGGACTTGGTGCCTTCCTTTGTAAGCATCCTGAAGCGCGGCTCCAAGTTGACAAGTTGTACCGGCTTGATGTGCACGAGCTCGCACACCACTTGCCGAGGCAAATAACGGAACATCGCTTGCCAAGAGACTTTGACTACCACCGGATGCCAGCACCATGGCTACAGGCTTCTGATTGCGTCAATTGGCTACAGTAATGCATGGTATGTAAATCTCATCTGGTAGGTGAAGCTCCTCTCCATCTTAAGCATCTTGGGGACAGCCGACAAAGCATCCTCCGAGCACATGTATGAGATCCTCCAGGCCAGGCGAGTCGCCTGAACCCTCGTCTCGTGCTGCTTTCACTGCAGGAGTGTATGCGTCGTGCGGACAGTGGGGTCAATGTCGGCTACGCCATCATCTACGAATGCGTGAAGTTACTCGGCTTCGGCAAGTGACAATCTGGAGTATACTTCCTTTTCGTCAAGCACTTCTTACCCGCGACCGTGGCTCGAGGTGACAGCCGGATAAGCCGCTGTTCCGCGTGTTTCCGTAGTTGGCCACGTCTTGAGATCTGCTTTTGTGCTGCATGCCTGTGCCCTCCTTGTGGGGCCGAGAACCAACCAAGTGGTTGCTGCTAAACTTCCAACCGACTTCGGCATGCTTCGCCAGAACAAGACCCTCAATGGGTTGCTCGAGAAGGCTCCAAAGCCCAAAGCACGCGATGATGCATCGCGAAGCCGCATCAAACAAGCACTCATTTACGACATTGCTGTAGCAGTTGAAGGGCAGTTGAAGGGTTCTGAAGCCGCGGTCCGTGTTGACCTCTGCGCCGCGAACGTGCTTTCTTCTCGTATATCAGCGTTTGCATTTCGGCAAAAGTCGTCACCGTCCGTAATCAGAGACATGAGTTGATGTCAAGGTGCATCACCAAAATTTTCCCGGACCATGGTCTCTTGGAGCTCGCGGCTTCAAACATTTCGAGGCTTCCCGGACTTGGCATGCCAGCTCTCTTTGCTGTCGTGCTATCGAAGGTTCATCTCCTCGGAGAACCACAACTTGAGATATCTTGGTGTTACTGGCCTCGCTCAAATCGTGCAAGTCAATCCGCCTCGACGGCTCGTCTTGTGCAGTCCCTGGTGCACGGCGATAAAGCTGTCAGCCAGGACCTATGCTGCAGAGCATCAGATGGTTGTCGTGGATTGCTTAGAGGACATCGGGTATGCCAGCAAGCTGGCCAGCTACCGGTTGGAGTAAAACACAGCCTTCTGCAAGCGTTGTGCGCGCAGATGCGTCCAGGATCCAGACGAGACGTTAAAGAGGAAAACTTTGGATCTGTCCGAGCCTCGCAGCGCCTCGCGTGTCTGAGAGCCTCCTTTGCCTCCTACCTTGCTGCATCCGGGCCAGGCTTTTCAGAATGACCAACCCGCAGAATGTGGTGGTAGTCGTCCGCACTCAGAGCACCGGGCACAGTTTGATGTGGCACAAGTTGTTTTCTTTCGGTAGAGGTCGACAAGCTGAATTTTCATCTCCGCACCAGCGTTGCCATTTCCTCAGATCGTCTGGAACAGGATCTTCTGATATCCAACAATCACAACACAGGACGCGCATCTCCGGCGCGACCTGGTGCAGAAGATCACATCTTTGGCAGAGCGCTTTGCTCCGGACAATGAGTGGTGCGACGGCGCATCATTGATCATTGCATCCTCCTGCTCGTGGCTTGAAGAACGTGCTGCATTTCTGGTG